ATCGTATAGTTTGAGTAAATAGAGTTTGCGGCGCAGCAGTTAAATGATAAAGGAGAAAAACAGGTGTTTTGGGATTGTCCGCCATAATACATATATATCAGTAAACCACAAGGCTTTGGTTATGATTATTGGTAAGAAAACACAATAAAATAGTGACCATACATATCGTGAAAAACATTTGACATTTCTTACGCGTACGACTTAATGATTTTCCCTTTACAGACTTTTGTTCAATTAAAATGTACAATTTATCGAACGTTTACAAAACATTGACGAAAACCTCAGTTACCTCACCGTGAAAAAGTTATCAGCAGCGCTTGAGAAGGTGATTATGTGTAACATTTGAAATGACAAAAGTCAGAGTGCTTAACCGGTTTGAAATATAAGCAAACTGACTTTATGTCGATAAATTATTAAAATCCCCATTAACTGGCATCACCAGCATATGAAGCTATGCATGCATACTGATCTTGGAACATATTATAAAAGAAAACATTCTCCGAAAATAAACATCTTGTAAACCCAAGATATGAGTTGTTAAAAACAAGACACAATATTCAAGGTGATATTTCGACTCTATTTCAAAGTCATTGTCAAGTCATGGTTTGATGTTTATTTTCCAAGTATATTTTCCAAATTTCGCATAGACTAAAAAGCTCCTATATATCAAACGAGTTTGCCCCCCAAACGCCAACCTCATATCCAGTGTCTTTCACATCCGCTGGTACCGGCCCTGGGTACAAAATTGTCACATTACACGGTTAACAACTAAGCCTGATTCTCATACGTCACAGACGGTCGGCGATGGCCATTGTCGGTGATCACTTGAGAATAAATTGCTTTTTTGTATACATATTCCTTGTCACTGGTCACAGACAATACATCGCCGATCACGGGGCTATAGCCTGTATTTTCTTCATTTTACTACATTTGGAACGAAAATTAACTATTTTTGCGACTACTTTTCAAGCTGTGATAAAATAATGGCCAGATTGACAGTGATTTGCCGAATGAAAACGTTGTTAAAAAGGCGATGGTCTATTTACAAACTCGTTTTACACGCTCACATATAGCTAGGTTGCGGTATGAAAATCATGTTTTGAAATTCAGTATTTAAAATAGGAAATTGCAAAATGCGGTAATAATTGAATGATAGATAATTAAAATCTCATGCAGGTTTACGGTTTTAATTAGATGTTGGCGTCACTCGGTCACTGTCTACGTTTATCAACGCCGTTTATGTACATGCAATTTTTGGTGCGATTTTTGAGCAAATAGTTATATCAAAACTCTAATGACTTCAGATGAATATTTGCATGTAATTTGACTCCGTGTTGACGTGTAAGAAAATAAGACAATCGCATCTTGAATTGCGGCAAAAATGCCAGGGCAATTAATGGACCTAAATCACCTAATTCAAACGGGACATATGCGACTAATGCGAGTTATGTTTTCCAGTTCAAAGCTTCGCGTGCATTATAATTACCATCGTATATTTAACTATACTCGCAGAAATCTATAACGATTACATTACATAATTATGTGTTCTAAGGCAAAGAAATAATAAAGGCTAAAAAGTCTCTCAACATTTATCTCTTCTTAATCATAAATAGTCATAAATCATCTTTCATCATAAATAGTCATCTTTTTCAGTCATAAATAGTCATAAAATAATCTCCATGCATGTAGAGCGTCTTGTTTGGCTAAAAATCTTGTGATTGTCGGCAAGGAATGAAAATAATTATATATTTATATTGAATATTGAACTCAAAGAAAAGCGTAAATAATAAATAAACCAATAAAAAATTGCCTCCGATGCATATTACTGAGAGATTTATATTTGGTATATATAAAACCCACACAAGCACTTTTCATCAAAGGTATATATGCGTGAAATCGGCGGTGTTAAAAGCTTCTCGATGCTCTGCAATGCCACAAATGCGATTGTTCGCCTGGAAATTCTCTAAAGTAACTCATATGACGAAGGCCCTAAGGCGAAAACGACCGTGAGAGATTTTTCAAATGTACATAGTTCCTTGACAACATTTGATGCGAAGTTATTTATACCGCAACCACGCTATATATTCGCACACTTTCTCTAGCCTTCAAACAATATCAATGTCTTAGGCAGTGAGACTGAGTGTGATACTGTAATTATTACGTAAAATTGGATATTATTTATAATGTTCAGTTCGGGGTTGTCCATAAAGCCCGACATGCATATAGGAGATTTAAATTAATCGACTATGTAGTCATATGCGCTTTCATTAATGAGTCGAAATACTTATATATACGGTAGTGTTTTCGTATATAGCATACAAAGAACTTCGTCAAACCAGACTAATTTCACGTATGATATTAGGGTTCAAGGGTTATAATTACTGTAAATTTTGTATAACAAGCCGTATTGGAAAACATATGAATGATATATACGTAATATAAAAAGATATTCATGTCGCCGAACATGCATGCTGATCGTATTCTGTCGACCAAGATTCAGCGCACGTTTAAACCTTTTATATAAATTTTCTTTAGCGAATTTTCTTTCGTATGTAAAACAATATTGGGCCTTTTGTTGTCTAAATGTACACAATACACACAGTACACACAAATCCTTCGTCCACACGGGGCAAAAGCCAAAATATAAAATGTATATATTATGAAATAAGAAAATTCACCGCTGTTAACATATATATATTTGTACCCGTGAACCAACCTTTTGTTTCAGCACCACTATCGAGTCTATCGACTGTACCAAAAGCGACTTGCATGAAACCACAACTGATGAATAAACATGACATCAAAAGTAGCCGAGAAATTCGATCGAATTTATCTTTAATACGAGCCATGATACGTAAGTTACGCAAGCAATGTATTATCGCTATCCTCTGACGAGAATGCTTTCAAACATAACATTTACACTGAATGGAAACCAATTGTTCAATTTATTTACCGCCGTTATCAAAAGCTTATTAGCATATAAATAAACTTCAATTTGAATTCAAAGTATATGTCATTATCAAAGAGATGCGATGATACAGAACATGATATTTTGCTGTCAACAACACAATTCCGGACTTGCATGAAGAGAATGTCCATAAGATTAAAACATCTGCATCGTAACAGACTAACAGTCATATTAGGATCGTCAACTACGTATTACTTAAAATAACAATTCAATAAGAATCACCCATGTGCAACCACCAGCCGCAATATCCTTTTTATTCCACGCTGACATATGGTTATAAAGTATACATTTTTGCATACAATTGCATGGAAACAAGTCTCCTGAAAAGACAATTTCATGCAATACTTAACCAGTATCACAATATTGGGATATCGACTTATTCCAACGCTATTGACTTAAGGTTGGTTTTCAATTATACGTAATTGTCGACTTGTCGTGAAAATGTCAAAGTGCATGGTTGATGCATTAGAATAATTTATTGCTATGTTATTTGGGGTCAACATGCAGAGAATAAAGACAAATTTTCTTCCGAAATATTGTGGCGAAAATGTCTGTTTCCGACAATTACGACTAAATTAAAAAGATAAAAACAAGCCTTTTATTCCGAACTATGCAATTAACCATTAATTATAAAAATCGTGCTTAGATTCCTCATGTGAGATGAATTGAGAAAATGACGTCAGTGTGACTTGAAATACGAAACCTCATACAGCACGAAGCCAAAAGCAGGTCTTCTAAACACAATGTGAGGCCCAAACAGCAAAATAACAGAATTTAATTTGTAAAATGTGAAGGGAGTGGATTCTTTCCAAATCTTTAACTAATTATATTCAATACGAAAATACGCCATTCACTTCAAAATTCAAACTTTTATATTTTGCAACTTTTATATTTTGCCTTAATTATTTTACGCTATATTTGCGTGCACGCCCTTTTATATAGTTTCCTAAAAAAACTAAAAAAATAGTTAATTGATTTTACAATAACTTCAAAATATAGTAGAAATAAATAAATGAAATCTCATGTCGTGTTTCATTAACTCAAAACTAGAGTGTTCGAGATGATGATCCTTTGACGGTTCTTTAGATAAAATCTCGGCAGCACTCTAATCACAGCGTGCGTCAAAAACTGAGTAGAAAGTTAAATACGTTCCAATATAAGCGTCGGGCAGCGTCGGGCAGCGTCTTCAAATAAACTTAGCATCAAATGTGATATAACAACTGCCTAAAATAGACAAAATTCGACGTTTTAACCTGAGGTCCTTCGTCAGAAGAGTCATACTAACTCTCCTGAAGAAGGCCCTCAAGTTGAAACGTCGAGAAGAGTTTTGTCTATTTTAGGCAGTTCGCAGTTGTTATACCTCATTCGATGCTAAGAAGGTTATGCATGCTAAGATAATATGAAATATTGTCACTTTTCCGCGCGGCGTTTTAAAATATCTTGCTGAATTTAAGTTTTTACTAAATGTATCAAGAAAGAAAATTTTAATTTGTCTTTGGGGAGGGCTGAGTTATCGTATAGGCAAGTGAAATGCCGGATTTCATTTAATACCAATAAAGTTGTCACTTGCTAAAATATGCGGTCTAGGTTTAACACAATTGAAACGAGGTAAACCCGAGGTTAGGTATTACTACATATATCACTAGCAGGTTAACTCAATGTATCACACAAGAGAATTTTTTCCCGCTCGGATAGAAAGAAGACAAGATCGAGTCAAATAATATGATTATAACTTACTTGAGTTCATAATTTCACAGATTTAAAAGGTTCAGTTTTACCTTATGGTGTAACAGTGCCTATATATAATAATATTTCTAGCTATAGGAGCTGTGACGAAAAAGTGACATGCAATCATGCAGTCATACCTTACTGCATGGTAATAGAGAGTTTATACTAGATGGCAAACAGCCAGCAGAGTTTGGCGGGGATGACAAATTTCATCAGTACTTATATGGTAACATTATATAAGACATTTATACAATTTATAATAATGGTGTGATTAATACAGTACTTGAAGTTTATCAACACTGTTCAATCAATATACATGCAACCGGAACAACCTGTTCGTTTTAACCCGTCTATACTTGCCCTATAGTCAATGCGCGTTATAGCTGTTACACGACCCCTTTTTATGTGGTTATATTATATATTTTTATATTTATATTTATATTTTATTTTATATTTATAAACTTGGTCGCAAGCGACAGGCAACCCCACAGAGTACTTACTCCAATTATGGTATGCCTTAAAATGTTCGTATCTCTTTAGTGAGTCGGTCCCAGGGCTTTGGACCCCAGATATTTTCGCGATATATGTGCCCCCCCTCAACCCCCACATATCCAAACCTCTCCTCTCTCTGTACATGATATACGCCGCCTCGGCAGCGGCTAAACCTTATACACCTAGAAATACATTGCATATAACAACCAGTAGTATTTATCTTTAAATTATGCACTAAGTATTGAAGGTAATACTTCAATTGCATGGTTTACGATTACCATGCACTCTTACATGTCACTCGATTCAACGGATTCCTACACTGATGAGCCGTTTTGGTTTTGGGTAGTGGCCTTTTTCATTAAATGCAACACCGTTATAATGCTGGTCTGAGACAGTAGACGTCCGAAAATACGTTGAGGACGTATCACCGCACCAGCTATCACACTTTTTGTAGCAGTTTGAGGTGAACCCGGAGAAGTGCAGTCCCTTGTAGAACGTTGTGTCACATATCAACATTTGGTATTTGTACTGTGTTGTGGCCACACCTTGCGCCGTCCACAAGCCATAAGCATTTGCATCCTTATCATAATTGCCGGTAAATGTCACAGGTGAGCCTCCATTCGTGAAGGCTGCCTTTTGTTTTGACGCTTCATCCACAAACATCACCCCTGTAAACTAAAGCATCGGGAAATTGGAAAGAAGCAAATTGCGATTAGCTAAAAATGAATTTTGCTACTTTGTGTACGCAATTTTTGATTTCGGATAATGCCGAAACTAATATTGTTTCAAAATTGCATAATATTAAGTGCATTTTTAACTGACTTAGGTAAATCGCGTTTTTAAGCTCATTAACATTGCAATACACTGCGTTCGCCACATGAAAAATCGATTATTTACCAGTTAAAAAACGTTTAAAATATAAGTGGTTCAAAATATAGGCGAAGGGATTCTGCATGGATATGCAGTGCATGTATATTTCTAATAAAAAAAGTAAACAGGCCTGATCAATATTAACCTATGTTTGTAGTTCAGGAAACGGATATTGGAGCTACGAGATTCATATCAAACTCTTGTAGTACAAATTGGGACATTTGCCCTAGCTAGAGTCTAGTCTCTTTTGAGAGCAATACCGCGCGGCCATAAACAAAGATGGCGTTGAGATCGAAGCGAATTCATGAAGCGAATTTTGAAGCCGGCCCATCTCGGCGTTTTGCCGATGAATACATTAATAATAATGAGTTTTCGTCCGCAAACACGTCAACTAAAAGAAGATTCATAGCCATAGGTTTCTCCGTTCTTTTGCTCAGTGCCTCTCTTTTGATAAAGTATATATGAGTAAGCTGAAATATAGACACAGAGTGTTTATCAACTCCGAACAAAGATATTTTAAACTTTTAATATGGACAATCATCAAAAATTTATAATTTTAATACTTACTTGCTTATTTCGTAATTAAAAGAAGGAACTGTAGTCCGTAGAAAAGGCGTACTTTGTTCGTATTCATGCTCTATCCCTTCGACGGAATGAATTTATGAGGTAAACAAAACCAAAATCGAGAAAGAAACCCCGAAAAACCGAAGATATAGAGCCATTGGTCCACTCTTAATTCGCTTTGAATATGTATGAATTTGGTATCAAAATTTGCGCCAAATCATGTAGATTCCAAAAATGGAAGTAACTAGACGTCACAATGTATTGCAACAGCGCTAGCTCCAGTTTCCCTCTCACTTCCGCCGTGAGTAGGTCACTCAGCGGTGAAATTCTATAATAGCGGCGTACTAAAAAACCCCAAAGTCCAGGTGTAGAACGTGATGAATCTGTATGAAAATTGCATTACCAGACGTGCCGAAGGTGAAATTTTTAAATCCCGCTGGTAACTAAGATGTATTTTTTACGCACAACGCACGAGCAGGAAAAAACCACGAATTTTGAGTCAAATAATATAGCCGCGCAGCTGGAAGCGCGCTAACTTGAAACACGATATACCTTTTGTCTACACAGAGTTTGATATGAAGAAGAACTAAACAGATTAAACAAATTATTGCCCTCGCTTGTTCATTTCGCGTATAAAGAATGTTAAAAATACTGACCAATATGTTATTACAATCTGCACGATAGCCAAGAGCAGGTGTGGTGACAAGTTCAGTTTTGATATTAACATGACTGTCCGTCGTGTAACACATTGTCCATCCTCCACCAAACGAGGTCATATCACAGTATACTTGAAATGGTTTACCAGGGCCATCTCCGTCTGGATCAATAAAATATTCTCCGTCTCCATGACTTAAGCCTTTCTTTTTGATGTCCAGACAACTAGTGAGGCCTGAATTGACAAAAGAAAAGTTCGATGTGCCATTAGCGCCCATTTGCGTGTCTCTCATAAGTAACTTGAAATTAATTAATACAAGCATGTATTTTATCAGATGATTGGCTTGCCATTGGTCAAATGACTTCAGATATTGAGCGATAATTGGCTGCGCGGATTTTTCAAAATGGCGGCTAGTTGTTTTTTTCAAAGTGAGTTTACTGACGGATTGAAAAATCAATAATTTTTTAAAAAAAATACTGCACCTACCTTTGACGGTAAAAAACTACGTTCTAGAACAGTGGTTAACCTTATTTCGCATAAAACATCGGTTTAATCAAATTAGCTTGAAATTTTCGGGATATATTTGGCCATATTTGTCCATGGCCATAAAAGGACCCATTCATTGTACCGTGCTGTGATCACGGCGACTCTTCATTATTTCAACTGATAATCACAAGATTACCTGTGCAGACAAAATCTGTGCACATATTGTTATCGCTTACCTCCGGTGGCGGTGACCTATAAGAAATAGTGACATTGTAAAGTAAAAAAAATTCTCTACTTTACGAGACGCAGCAATATCTGCATGATATGCAGAAACCTCCGAGGGAGGCTTCTTCAATGTTCTCAGCTCACTCGGGCTAGCAGGGAGGCCTGGGTATACGTAAACGTATATAAGAAACTATGTTGAAGCTAAAATTAATAACAGGAACATACTTCTTTTATCCTACAAAAACTTCTTTTCATCTCTTGAGAAATTTTGCACAAGCATGTGCCCTGTGACCCCCCCCCCCCTTCCCCTCCAAAGGTTCCCTGGGCAGTACCCGCATGATATTAATACGTAAATCTAAAGTATTCTTCCCATATTTTTCTCAAACGAACAAGTGGTTAAAACTTTATTAATTACCAAAATGTCTTCGTAAAAAATCCATGGCCCATTCTTCATTTTGGTTTTGTTCATCTTCACAGTGCTGTTGCTCAACTGACAGTTTGCTGTATAAAGGGTACTTGGTCTCACTCTGTAGTTGTAACCATAGCAATTGTCTTGACTAATACAGAGAATGTGACACTCTCCCAAAAGATGGATGGTATGATTTGAGATAAGATTGGATGGATGCAGCGCTTGGTTTCCTGTTAGATAAAATTATATGAATTTTAAACTCTCGTTAAATCGACATTTCAAACATGACGTTTTGACATTGTTTTAACTTCACGAAATTGTCACGAAACAGTTGTGACGACGCTAGTCTGAGTTGCATGCGACTGGCCAAGCTAAGAAATTAGTTTGACCACGGTGGGAATCGATCAATCGAACCTTAGAAGGTGGAAAAGCATGAGCTCTACCCCTTCTCCGTGGTCCTTGAAACTGTATATATTCTTTTTTATGTAGCTTCGACGTGGTGTGTAAGTGTATATTTGGGGAAGAAGACGAGAAGTCGAGAACCGAGAACGACTTATCAATACACCGAAGCCTGTGGCCCTGAAGATCTCCATTATTTGTGAAAGCTCGGCCATGATTCGGAAAGCACCGGGAACGGGCACCGGAACACAGGAAGCCGGGGAAGGTTGCAGGCATTGCGGTAATTTCTAAACGTTTATTGACGAGGGGGAAAAATATACATTTTTATCAACACTGTACAACGCCAGTGTATAAACCGCCTGATTGTTGGCCTACCTATGTTTTTAGCGGCAGTTTCGTTGGAGTTTTCCACGCATTATATTCATTGGCTATCTTCAGAAGCTCTTTGAATTTAGAAACTCAAGAAGGCGGCCAAGGTTAGTTGAAAGATTAGTTATTATTCAGCTGATTTGGTGTGATTTCGTATTATATATTGATCTGAATTAACAACACAATGGATCATTATGCCGAATTACTTTCTCAGATCATTATGCTGAATTACTTTCTTAGCTTAATTAAACTAAATCAACTTTATGGATCATAAGGTCTCCCAGGGATGGATCTCATGTACTGTAAGACTACCTGTCAAGTGCCAACCATGGGATGGGATAGAAACACCAGCTGTAAAATAGATTGGAATGTATGTTTGTATTCAGAAATTGAGATTGTGCTTCTTTGATTGTCAGAACCTCACATAAGACTGCCAGAGACTCTCAAGTACACCAAAATAATTATTCAGTACTATTTCCTAACACAATTTGCTCAATTTCAAGCTGATTAGCAAAATTTGCACCACCCCTGAATGCTCAGGGAAATACTTTTGCAATGCATTTTGTTATTTAAAAATTGTGTCTTGATGGATTTGTTAGCTTTTAAAGTTATCAGACATAAAGTCAAATCAGGAATTTTGTGCAACTTAAACTAAAGAAAGCTTATTTGCGACTCCTGATTTGATGTCATGTCCAGTAACTTTATAAGCTAACAAATCCATCAAGACAAAATTTCTCAATAACAAAAGGTATTGCAAAGTTTTTTAAAATACCTTAAACTATTGATATATTCAAAATCAGCAACCATGATGTGGGGACTTCTACTGTAGCTGGGTGACATGCAGAAGTTAAGCATTGAGTAAAAAGCAAAATCAGTAGGAGCAAATATAATGAATGTACTGTGAGGCTGAATGTTACTGTAGCTTGTAGTCTATATATATATATATATTTTTATAGTTTCTATCAGTTGGGAATTAACTCACACAGTGTATGGGCCTCTTTAGCCTCAAGGATCTGGTGTACATGTAATCACCCCATTCATCCCATCCACTTGATGCTACCGCTGAGGAGTGCCAAAATGAATTACAAGGCGAGCCTCCAACACCCACTCTAGCTTAGGTTTGGCGAGAGTTCTACCTCTTAATTGTCCCCTTCTCCTTCAGTAAATTAATCCCTAGCTGTTTTATATTTATAGTTGTAGTCATTCATGTTAATCGATGTCAAATGTGGTTTGTTCCATGCTGTTTGATTTTGTTTGTTGAAATTTGACTAATTTTTATTGAGTCTAATACATATCATAATACTCAAGAGGTATTTAGCTTCCATAGGAGTTAAGTAAATTAAAATCAGTTTTTAGGGTCCAATTTTATAAATTTTATTGCTATTATTAGACCGAACAACCTTGTTATGATATTTTGAAAAAATGGCTTCTTTGATTAGCTATTTGAAGTCACTCTGTATCATGATGTTATATGAAAATACACTAAAGATTTGACCAATGATTCTGCTGATTTAGCGAATTGTTTTTAAGTAAAAGATGAAACTTAGTAATATAATTATAGGTACTCAGAGTGGTAACCTACACTTTATGTAAAGTGAACAATTAAACATGAAGATCACATGTATAGCTTGCAACATTATATATCTGGCAATCCATTACATCTGGATATTTTAGCAGTTCCAACTTCATGATAAGATATTCTAATAACTTATAATATTAGGGTAATAAAATACAAATGTTCACTTATGGATATACCATATCGTAGAATAATATATATGGAAGACTAATTTAATAAAGGCTCGCTATGGATGAATTACTAACAAACAATATGACCAAGACAGTAACCCAAAAAGAATTAGCAAATGGGTGCACAACTGTATTTCAGGTTAAACATTATTTATAGGGACCAAATTTATTTTATACAGATACACACTATATAGAACTTCTGTGTATAGCTGTAGGATTGAGCCTGTATATTCTAGTGATTTGTCCTATTTGTTGGATACCAGCCCCAGAAGTTTGCTCTCACTCACTGTTAACCTCTTATAAATTTGTTAATTTGTTAACAAATTCTAATATTAGAATGGGTTAATACAATTTCAATGTGATGTTTAAATTTCCTGATTAAGAAATAGAAAAGACACACTCTTGGTACTTCACTGGGGCAAACTGATGAGCACAATCACAGCTTTAATTTTTAAATGCAGATTAGATACATAGATTTGCATGCTATGATCAATATAATTTTATACAGTCTATATATATATAATTATATATATATATATATATATATTTATTCATTTACATAATTCTTAAAATATTGGCATCGCTACTCTGAGTTTCATGCCACAGAGGCAATCATCAGGCGACTAAATTACAGTTCGTTACATATATATATATATGGTCTTTTATATAGGTATTTTTGAAATAGGACAAGTATTAGAGTTCTTTACTACCTGTAGTTGAGTTATATAAAGATGCAGAAGAAACCATTGAATTGAATCTAATTATTATCTTCACAAGTAAATGCTGCGCAGGGACGGGGGGTGTGAACGGTATTTTGCTTTCTCTGAACACGCTTCACTCGTCAAAGACTGAAAGGGAAACATTTTCCAAGTGTCACGTGTTCGTCCGTGTTGGACAATCTTTGGTGTTCCCCCCCCCCTCCTCCTTGTAAAATAGTCACGCTACGCTCCTGCAGCTGCTGCACAAATTAATAATAATGAAAGTTCTCTTTATACCGGATGGCGTAAAAAAAGTTAACCTGTTTGATTGAGTATAACATCAAAACTAAGAGGCCTGTTACACTGAAATTACTTTCTTTCTTTACACTGATATTACTTTTTTTCGTGAATGTCCAACTTAAAATTTTGTACATACCATGTTTATTTTGATACAGGATTTTTGAAAAGTGCAAATGTTATTCAAAAATATCATATTAGATAAGAAAAGATAATAATGGTCGTTTTCAGCCTTTTTCGTCGTATGACTTCTTGAGCATTGCGGTTAACTAACTCTGGCATAAATTCTGTGCAAACCCAAACTCGCTGTTGTGTCGTTAAACGAGGCATATTAAACAAAATTTAAGCTATATAGACATTAAAGAATATAAAAAACATAATTTTCGTGCGAAAGCTTCTTAATTTTGAAGTTTTACTCAATCAAACAGGTTAACGTTTTTTGCGCCACCCGGTAAACATATGCGTATACATAAGTTATAAAGAAAAATAGCGGTTCGAACAAAATACAACAGTGCGGTGCCGGCGGTAGTCATTAGTATGTTGGCTTCATTTTAATGATAAATTTTTAATAACAAATAGAAAATTCTTAAACAATTGTTACTAATAGTGAACTGTTAGAGGTCTATTTTGTAACACCAGCAGGCATTAAACTAAGGATTTTTCACACAAGGACACACTTCAGAGGGAATAATCGCTTAGGAAATGAATGAGTAGGAGTGGGGCATAGATTTGTTATCCCGGGACCTATTTATGCGCAATTTAGGGCTGATTCTCCATCAAGGAAAAGGTCCAAAAAAATTTTTGCGTTTTGGGACTGACTCATATGCTTACGAGAAAATGTTTGGGCATTAAGCCCTCTACATCCGTGAAAATAGGCATTTCAGAGTCTTAACCGTGTTCTTAATACGACAGTAGTCGTAAGCGTCGGCGAAACCTAACGATAAGATTTCAACTCATGAAAATCGCATGAATCAATCATGTACATGCAGTAAATTCAGGCACACACTTTTCATTTAGAAGAACACATTCGCATTTTGCAAAAAGATAAAGTGTTTACAAGGACACGCCATTTTAAATTTTAATGCCCGAACGCCAGTATGGCCTGTCAAGTTAACGTCAAAAAGGCAGACTCGATGTCACCAGAAGCGAGTAAACCCTTCTTGCGCAGAACTGGAGGAAGAAATACTTACATATAGTGAATGCATGAGCATATAAGTACATATGAGCGTATAGATTAGACTGGATAAATAATTTGAGACGTACAGTACTGGTCAGTCATGCATATTTGACATTATGATCTAGCCGCTCTATAAACAAATCATTTTTTAGTTCAGTACGAACATTATATACCGCCTGCCTAAAAATCTTCCTAGTAAGGCAATAAAGCATCTTGATGACAACTCTTAGGGATTATGAATTTATAGCGCGCGCAGGAATGGATCAGCATTGACATATGCAACGATTTAACGTGCATGTGTAATCAAATATTGTGTCTGGCCGAATCAACGTTGAAATGTTGTCGTTTGGCCTACTGGGGAAAGTTCTTTCATGGTCTGAAATAATTTGACGTTATTGACCATTGTAATAACGTCACTCTGTGTTAAATGTCAATTTGTTCGTTATGTATTTAAGGGCTTATTTTCTTGACTAAACCTTACTGGATAGTGTGATAAAAGGCCAAAAAAGTCAAGAAGATGCCGTATTGTCGTATTTAAGATGCATCCATAGTGGTCATGCGGAAAACAGCGAACATGAAAAAATAGAGATCTGACTGTCTTAAACACTTACCCTCACTGATACCCTTAAATTCCCTCCGTGCACATGCTTTGCCGTCCTTCGTCGCACAAAGTTGTTGCACGTCTAAGATTAATGAAATCACCAATAACAATACGGCAAAAGTCAACATTTCGGTTGAAATCCCTTCCGCGTAAAAGTAGCTATAATGGTGATGAATTGTTATCCATCATGTTATGATTTGGAAACGCTTGCTCAACAAGAAACTACTCTTGCAGTTTCCTCTAAACGGAAACGATATCTCCCTCAAAGAAAACACCTGCTCTGCACACGGGTTGCGACTAATAGCAGCTATTTCACCTGCTATTGTAAGCAAAAATTATTTCATTTCACTTTGCAGAATTTTAATGAGCAACTACAAACCAATTCTTATATAGTGATTATATCGTGCGTTGTAATCGCGTAAATATTTGGATTTCAAAATTTCGCTAACAAATTTCTTTTTTTTTCTTTAATTTTTTCAGTGTTACAATAGGCTGGAAGAAAGATCTTTATTGGATCTATCGGTTCTTAATAAATAATTCAGTAGAATTCGTGTTAATTTTAGCTCATTTATGAAGGATTATAATCGAGAAAAAATAGATGACATCGATATCTGAATTTCCGGCATCTAAACAGCGTCGCACTGTATAATGGCCAAATTCATTTCAAAAGCATTTATCTTGTTCTTGTTTAAGAGTTTTTTACTCGAATGCGATCTGACTCCGACAAAACTAAAAAAAAGAGCATATCAATTTTATTGTTAATATTTAAACACCGAAAACGTCAACGGTATTATATTACCGTGAGTTCCCTATAGCTGTATTGAAATCATTCGCCCGGTTTATACTAGAGACGGATCATCCGTCTGAACGATTGATCCGTGCATGCGGATCATCCGTCAAGTATTAACACTACGAACTATATAGACGACCTATGCAGAACGAACCAAAATTGCGGGACCAAAAACTGCACGGTCTCCTGTAGTTCGTCTGCATCCGCATTTATACTCAAACACGAATGATACGTCAAGACGAACTACCCATGGAAATTGGTCTAAATAGACGAACTATGCGGATAATTCGTCTTGACGGATGATTATACACCGATGAAGTAGAAGACGCACTATCTTTTGCTCGCCAAAGTTCGTCCAGACGGCTAGTATAAATCGGCCCATTTCTTGTTAATGGCACTTTTTTGGGACACACTGTATTTCAAATACAGTAATTATTAAATATAGTATTAATGAATAATATTAATAGAAAAACGCCCGCCGGTTGCGTGTTGTAATTGTGATATCCGCTAAAGTAAAACAACCAATCATATAGTATTAGCTTCAATATTAAGTTAATATGTAATACTGATGTGATGGGAGAGTTGATAGGCCGTTATAATTTATATGCCGAAAAGCATGTTTTTATATAGCTTTTTGCATAAAAACAGAAGAATCTTAATGCTAATAGTATATTTTAAAGCGAGTGCCATCTAATTATATTTCTGACATTTGAAAATACATTCTATTTCTTGCCATTCGAATAGCCACACAAATTCTAACATGCAGTATACGAGATCCTGAGCATGTGGTAAATTATGCAGCTTTCAAAAAGATCTGATTTCAAAGCTGGGTTTTTTTATTCACCCTGTTTACATCAAATAGCAGTCTCCAAATAACGAAAACTATTTAAATTACATCACTCAGAGTTCGAATGCATATATAACTCTTTAATGTTTGACATAAAAAAGGGCCCAGCTATATACCGGTAGAGCGATAATTGGGGGGGGGGGGGGTGTTTATTTATATACTCTGTTCTGCCTGACAATCTATTGTGAACTATTGCACTTACAAAAGAAACCCGTCGGGCAGAACTGAATGTATTTGGATAACCACCCCTCCTCCCAACTAGACATATTCATTATCACTGGACATATTAACCATTTTTATGCATGGTGAGAGTAAGTTTTGTTTTGACCCACAAGGAACAATATTTTAACTCAAGCACCGTGACCTTCGCCTTTTTTCCTTTGCTAGCAACACAAGCCATTGTTCGTCGGTACATACAATTCACAGCCCTTATCTCGCATTTAGCGTTTTATGAGTTGCATTGAATTCTCATTGTGGAAGACGACGTAACCACATTGGCAATGCCGAGCAGTGCAAGTACGCCCGAACCTTCTCCATGCGTTTTTCTCAGAACCAGACAACGTACAGCAACCAAACTGAAAACAAAGTCGGTGAAAACAAACTCTTATCGACGCTATCACGCTTTTCACAATCATTTCGCACGGCGCAGACTGAATCGCTATTGGAGTACTTACACATCTTTGAGCCAAAGGGTGAATCCTGTGCTGTCTCTGAAACAAGTAAAACGCAAAGTAAAAACGGGGTGTAGAGAGCAGTGCCTGTGAAAGAGTCATCAGAACATGCATTACTTTAATATTTATCTGCAGAAGTCTAGCAAAAGCGACGACAATTATGAAAAAAATCACCTAAAAACGCTGATTGTGTTACTAGTCGGGAACCCCCCACAAGAGCAATTAAATTTTGTTGTTTTCGAGGACGCAGATTTGGACCAATATTCGCGCGTCAAGAGTTCTCGCTACTGGGATGGAGTCTTGTAAAGTGCTATATCAGATCTTAAAGATCCCAAAGTACGACAGCGGGAGTTAATATCAAGTATTTTAAAAATATTACGTCATTTCAACAGTCTACTAGCTAGGTTTGGCAAAAAGAGCAAACGTCACGACTGAATAAATTTAAGGGAGTATCAATTGTTTTTGCATCTGCATGATATTCCGGCCTTCTGGTCTATATGACCTATGGTCGTCTGGCAGCACACTAGACATAGATCAAAACATCATCTTAGATACATAAATTATCAAGGTATACCATGTCCTAATCTGTCAAATCATGTCCTAATCTGTTTCAAAGTTGATGAAAAAGTATCGACGTATTTCTTGTTCAGAAAACGAACATTTTGGCCGCTTTTTAAGGTGTCAGATAACATTTTTCACTCATTAATCTTAACTTAAGGTCAGCTAATGAAAACGTTTTGAATTATTATATTCATGCATGCACAAATAAATGTGAACAAACATATTAATTCGCCTAGCTCTCTATCAATTTATATTCATGACTTGCTGTTTGCATTATATCAAAATTTTATATCTTTTATGCTGTAAACGGTATTTCACCATTTATTACCTCGTAATGGGATGTTTTAAGTATGAAATCAGCTGTTTTTTCCTATAATTAAAATGTACCATTTATGTTTTTAAAGTTAAACAGTAATCGCAACTTGACTTGCGTTCGTCTCGGGAAAGCAGCACAGAGCGAAATATGCATTCGTTAAGATTTCTTCTGTTTTGCATCGTTTTCAAGCATGCAACCTCTTGGTACACCGGCAAACAGCGCTTGACAGATTTTCAATCAAAATATGCCAACAGCAAGGCAGATATATTTTTCCTCATGGACAATTCAGGCAGTTTGAGGTGGAATGGCCAAAGGGGCTTCGCTGACGAGAAAACATTTATTACCTCACTTCTGTCTAAGGTCAAAATTGCAAAACCGGCGACTCGTGTTGCCGTCATTCGTTTTGGAACACACGCGACCATAGATATCAACTATATATCAGATTTAAACGGTCTCAACAATAAATGCGAGTTCGATAAAGCGTTTGCAAACATCCACTACACTGGTGTCATGACGAACATGAATGGAGCTTTCTCTAAAGTAGAGGAAATTCTTTTTGGCGCGCAAAGCACGAACGTGCGTCCTTGGAAGGTGATAAACCCTCAAGGAACGTATGTGAATAAAGTGATGTTTTTACTCACGGATGGAGAATACAACAATGGCGGGGATCCTACCAGCAAGATTATTAACTTAAAGAACAACCACGTTGAACTTTTTGCAGTCGGAGTAAGCGGCGTTAATCAAGCATTTATGAAAAATGCTGCCACGACACAAAAACACTATTTTTACGCCAGTGATTTTACTTCATTCAGGGAATTAGCCACCCATATCCGTGGAGGTAAGTTATTTAATAAATCATTATTGCATGAGGTTGAGCGTGTTATTGAGAATTCTCATGACAGAGGTTGGTGTTACCTGCTGAATTAATCTTCTCTGTGCGCTGTGGCTTCTCTGAATATCGTTTTGAGAGACCGTAGCAAACCTCCCTCTTATTTGATTTTTGTAAAAACCGACTTTGATGGCATCGACAAGTTTGTAGAAACTTAGAAACTATATGATTTGCAGATATGACATCACAATTACAGAATACCAGGAATTGTTTAATGGTGTCGGGCTAATCAATTAAAACAGAGATTATAATATATAAAATATAATTTAAAATATAAACCCCAACTCTTTCCCCCCCCCTGCAACCTTTCTATTTTGCATTAAAAACACTTTTTAGAGGATTCTTATTATGATGCATGATTCCTAGATAGTAGTTTGAATCATTTTACAAACTTTGTCACACTCCGCTGGACGAATTGTAGTGACTCGTTGACAGATATTTGGCGCGAATTTATTAGTGCCCCAATCAGGACCCAAAATTTCACAGGAATTTCGCACTTCTAGTACAACAAAATAGTCAAACAAATTTATTTCAATGCTTAATATAGATCCGTACCAAAAAGATTATGATGCTGAAAAAGTACCCAAGAGCAAGTGTTCCGTTACGTGTGATACAAATGCAGAATGCGGCTGTGGTCTTCTTAGCGGAAGATATGTTTGCATCTGCCACGCGGGTTATTTCGGTACCGGGGAGCAAGGAAAGTGTACTGGTGAGTGTTTCTTTTTCATTTTTTTAATTGCATACATACTAATGCACATCGAAACCCGGTTTACTGTTTCTGACTGCGGACGTTTTTGTGATCGCAGATACAAGTGCATGAAAATTTTCATTTAGACATGCCAAGGAATTGAGTAGTTACCTGGACGAAAAATTTAACAGTGTAAAAGTTACAAGCATAAAATAGTTACAGATAAAAGGACGTAATTTGCTGGCATCCAAAAAGTCGTGTTTTAACTTGAATTATTTACCCTCATTGTCCAAAGCGAAATTTTAGAGCCCAAAACTGTTAGGCCTCTAGGTTCGCGCCCGGTAGGTCCTTGCATGTGGTTTATGCCGCCGCCCAGTCTTCTACTGAAGAGGTGGCGTAGCGGTAGCGTCTTCTCTGGATACATTTGTAAGTTAGACCATCCTTCTAACCTAGGAGGATTTACGATATATAAAGGTCCGTTTGGTTATTTTTTTATGCAAGCATTGGGTTAATGTTCAAAATTAATGAATTATGGAATGCGGTAAGAAAGCTGCATTTCTGTAAAACAATTTCTGGCCGAAATCATTTGTTATGTAAATTTTTCATTAATTTCTCAGGGTTTAATTTCCCTTGTTGAAACACCTGACTGTGTGAATAAATTTAGACATGTCTCGATTTTTATGAGATCAAAACCTCGACCGGTCGTTTTAAACACAGACCTGTATTGCATGGGCATGCATGGATTTCAGAATTATCGTTATTATTGTCATTACTCTTATTTCATAATTTATACAATCTTTGTGAATTGGCCGAAATCCACTCACGCGATTGGTCAAAATCAATCACGTGGTTTCTTGTTGTCCGGAGACATCATTGGAATCATAATAATTTTTTTTCGCAGTAACCCATGAAAATGATGGTTTATTAAAAAATGACAGCCTGCAGCGAAGCTTGCATGGATCTTCAATGCAGCAATCAATGAATTGTATATTAAAAGTGTTACACACTTAAAAATAAAGCAACTACAACTACGACCTTGCACGACTTTTCAAGCGCGCAATGCGTGATGGTAGTTGATTATCCAGAAACTTTGAGTTGCGATATCGCTCTGCTTAGAAGCGATTTTTTTTGTAAGAAAACCTTGCCGATTCTTTTCGCTTCTTTGTTAAACTAAATCGATCCTTAACATGTCGAAAACACAACTTAAATTGACCTTATATCGCTCTGCTTAGAAGCGATTTTTTTTGTAAGAAAACCTTGCCGATTCTTTTCGCTTCTTTGTTAAACTAAATCTATCCTTAACATGTCGAAAACACAACTTAAATTGACCTTGATAATCAGCTACCGTCACGCATTGCGCGCTTGAAAGCTAAAAAGGGAAAGGTCTATTACAAATCATCAGCATTACAAATCAGGATATTGAGAGAGATAAAAATCGCCATTTTCTGCTTTACCAGCATGTACACCTGGTACGTACAAAAGATATCCAGGTCTTGCTCAAAAATCCTGCACATCCTGTCCCGATAACTCTGGTCACAACAAACATGGAAGTATTTCGATCAATGATTGCGTATGTAATAAAGGATATGAAGGAAACCCAGCAAGTGGAGCGGCGTGCACAAGTAAGGAAGCTTCAATACTTCATTTAATTTCAGTTATAAATTGAACAGTTAGTCTTTCAAACTGAAATTATTCACCCCCAGTGAAGGTTATTTCTGAAAATTACTATAGTAATTTTAAACATATATGTTTAGAAGAGATTAACTTCTCAACAAAACTCGCTGCTATAGATAATTCTTCAGTAGTGCCCCCCATGCAAGTAATCATATCGTAGACAACCTTAAATATAGAAAAATTTTCTCTGGGAGAATAAAAGTATGTTTAGACTCGACATTCTATATTGAAAAAAATACATTTTTTATTCAGTCAAAAAATGTTTGGTTTTGCCGGTACCGGAAAATGGGTACACCAACCCGACAGCTTGCGGAAGAGATTATGGCAGTACGTGCTCTTTCAATTGTAATCATGGCTTCGAACTAATGGGAGAAGTGGTAAGATTTATTCTCTTCGCCAGCAAATATAGTCAGAGAGTTGACGGCAAAAATATTTTTATTACTTTTTATTACTTAATAATTATTGTGGTATTCGAGCAAAAGTATGAGTTAGTTTACATCTTTACGAGTTTCCTCTTACAATATTCTTGTAAGTTTGCATGACATCAATAAGTAACACCACGTAAGTACTTTTCAAAGCTTTCGGTGCGTTAACCCGGGCCTTCATCAGTGCAATGATAAAGTAACAATTGAGAAAGTAACAATGAGGGCCTTCGTTAGGAGTGTTAACTCTCCCGACGAAGGCCCTCAGGTCGAAACGTCGAGAAGTGTTTTGTCTATTTTAGGCAGTTTTTATACCACAGTTAATGCTTAGTTATTAATAATTATTTTATGATAAAGTATCAATTGATAGTGCAATTGCACTGATGAAGCCCCGGGTTAACGAAACCTTTGCAGTATCAAATACTTACGTGGCGTACCCACAAGCTAATCTCCTCTTAATTGTTGTTATACCGCGTGGTCATATACCTTGAAAATGATGGGAATCAAGATACAGTTTCAGCAACTGACATGACATTGTATCACGTTATATAGGACCAATATAAATTGTCATTATAAGGACCAATGCCATCATAAATATGATCACGTTGGAGCAGCCGCTGCATCCTCGTCCCCAGGGTTTAGCTCCGTCGCTCTCCACATAGGAGCTAGGCCCTGGGGACGAGGATGCAGCCGCTGCTGTTGTATTCAGTCCCAAATCCCCTAATACACCCCTGAGTTTTTCTTTCACTTTCAGGGGCGTGAGAAGAAAATAACCTGCACCAACTGCAGTGTGATTTACTGTACTTGATGGAGCTAAACTTCTTTCTTGTGTCCGTTGGGTGTGTTCAACTATCCTGCATGAGAATCCTCTTAAGCAACTAAAATTTCTTTCTTTTCGTTGTTTTAATTAAGACACGCACGTGTTCGGTTCGAGACAACAACGTTGGTAGAGCATTCTGGTTGCCTAGTGAAGCATCACCAAGTTGTCAAAGTAAGAAATAATGACTCTTTCATTTAGCACAGTTACCAGACGAGCGCAAACTGGCTGCGATGGTTTTCACCCAATGAAAATGGTTTTATTTTAATTAAAGTATGGATGCAAGTATTTGCACTGAGCTTGCGATGAGTGAAAAAGAACCCTTTAGAGGACTAAAATATTCAAATAATTAGGCATTGCGTTTGCTCGTATATTTTTCCGTAATTTGTAATTTAGGCCCCTATAATTTAAATCTGGTTATGAAAAATAGACAATTCAAATCGTGCAGAACCTGAATAAAAATTTACATCTCTCAAAAGATTGGATTGGGATTGCAAGTTGCAAGAAAAATTACACCGTGTAGCAGGGCCTTTACTGTATCATTTCCTAGTGTCTTCTATAGACTATACGCAAATTGGTTGAAGTTCTAGCAACCACAAAGTTTAAAATAAACTTGGTGTACAACATCCCAATGATTCCAAAAATACAATTTATTTTAGGAATCCTGTGTCCGCAATTCAGAATTGAAAACGCAGCTTCGGAGTATGGTGATTGCACTAACACTGACCTTCGTGTTGGGACAAAATGCACATACAAATGCTCGAGGGGATACCGTCTTGTCGGATCTGGTGTGAAGGTTTGTCGCGTTGATAAAACGTGGACTGGGGAGGACACGAATTGTGAAGGTACAGAGTGAATGCATTTGACTGTAGTAGCGTACACGACCCCGTTTTAAATGTATGTTGTCTTCTAATACCAAAAAAACGCACCTTAAAAAATGACATCTTGTAAAGATGTCATTTACAAGATATCATTTTTCGAAGTATGTTTTCTCGTATTTAATGAAATAGTCTGCTGGTATTATGGTTGTTGTCTTCTAAATACACCACAAATACACCAGGATTGTTGGGGCCGTATGCATGGGGAACAGCTCAATAGTCGCAACAAATACAACCAACAACAGGTTGTGTTCCTTCCAATTAAATTGTATTTCGTGTAGTGTTGTGTCCTCGATCAAGACATCAACTGCCTTTTCTAGATACTGATCATAATATCCGTAGTGTATTATTGCTTATTGTGCAAACTGCAAAGTTTTTCCGTTTGTCAACCACGTGCAACCCTAACCTTTTTCCGTGAATACATTAATTAGTTATTTCCCGTCCCTAACAGGACATGACTTTGAAAAATCATGTCAATACTCCCTTTACGTAAAAAGTCCTAAATATAAATAGAACATGAATTTTTCTGTTTGGGTTTAGATTTAAGTGAAAATATTTGTTTTTTCAGTTGTGACATGTCCGCCATTGAATTCTTTGGACTTAGCAACTGTGAACGACGTGAACTGCATTAAAAAATCACTGAAATTTGACTCAGCCTGCATATTTAAATGTCCTGATGGATACGAATTCAACGCAACAAGATCTCAGTCTTCAACTCGGTATTGTCAAGTTGATGGCACATGGGACGGTGCTACTCAAGTTTGTATAGGTACAAGACATACAATAATTATTATAATTATTTCGTTTGTTTATTATAATTATCATAGTTATTATAATTATTTATGCTAACCACAAGTGTTTTGATTGGTTAAGAATATCAGTGGCGTGACTAGAACGATAGTGAGGGGGGTGTTGTACATACCGGATGTCTCAAAAAAGTACCAATCTTTAATTCAACACAACTTACAAACGAACTAAAGAATTATAATCAAATAATCCATATTTAGTTGAGTAATGTCTAACGTAAACTTCGATATACTACGTTTGATATTCTTATTCATCTGCAAATTCATGTCCACCGGCAAAAACACACTTTCTTGCGCGTGTCAGCATGCCATCAAAACACCTTTGAATCATGTGGCCGTCCAAATTGCGACATGACCTAACAATCGCCTCGCGAAGTTCCATCAAGTTTTGAGGTTCTTAGTCATGAGGGACTTCCTAAATCTGCTGCTTTAAATAGAACAAGTAAAAGACAAATTTTCTCAAAAAACTAAAAAATGAGTTACAAGAAACTATGTTACAAACCGGTATTGTTAAAACAAAATTAACAGGCCATTTTTTACTGATTTTTTACAAATTTCAAAACGTTACTGTGTCTTTAAACGCGAATATCTCGGAAACTGTTCGTTTAAACTTTATATGTAATATATCAAACTTTAAGTGAGACATTACTCAACTAAGTATGGATAATTTGATTGTTATTCTTTATTTCGTTTTTACGTTACGTTGAATTAAAAATAGGTTCAGCTCTGCCCAGCGGATTTCTTTTTTAATTGCAATAGCTTACAATATAGAAATACGTTGAGCCGAACTGATGTAATTATCAATATAACCCCCCCCCCCCAATTATCGTTCTAGTTACGCCCCTTAAGAAAATACACAGGCTTCAATTTGATGCATGCAATATACGCATGAATTTTTCCAGTTAAGTTTTCTTCTTTTGATGGATGTGATTGAGGAAATTACTAGTACGTAATCTACTAGTATTGTCATCACGATCATCAAACCTGAGAATCGTAATAAATCGCACCAGAATTGCAAATGTAATTCGGCCTCTATAAACACTGTCTACACACCTATACAAAATAAAGTGGTTGCTTTTTCAACAAGGTATAGCTAATTATCGTCATTTTTACGTTTTGAAATAGGTACCAAAGATGGAATTTTTCTTTGTTCAAAATTATTATAGGAAAATATATTTCTATGCTTTAAAACAAATCATTAAGAATATTTTGACGCGTCCATATTTCAGATGTAAAACCGCCTTCGTTTACGACATGTCCAAGTAACAGAGTCTTCTTTTACAATACTACATTCCGCACAAACACGGCTGAGGTTGAGTGGCAAGTACCTGAATACGAAGACAACTCAATTCTGAACGACGTTAATCACAAAGTAACATTAGAGGAAGTGAGCGATTATTCAAGTCCAGCAAAGTTTACTATTGGAAAACATAATATCCATTACATCGTGACAGACAAAGCTGGGCTCAAAGCACATTGTGAATTCTCGATTGAGGTCCAAGGTAAGCTTCCTGGATTTAGAAATCAATAAATAACAAAAAAATTATCCTCTTTGGCTATGTGCCCATGACGTCTTGTCAACACGATCCAAGGAGAATTATGCTCAATAATTAGCTTGAACTTTTATTGTAAATTGACTGTGTTTGAAACCATTTTGGCCTGAAAACGAAAATGAAAACATCAAAAACGTTACCGCGTATGCACATAATCTCAGAGTGTAATAATTACGGAAAGATAACTTAATGTTTTATTTCCGAATGAAAAAAGTTCTGCTATATTTCGGGCTTAAACAATATCTCAATGAGGCCTGTGCGGCTGGTTTGCATCCGATAATTATGTAAATTGAGAATGACTTCTCATGCACCTCTGACGTGTGTTAGTTTTATTTTAGAGTAAGAGGTGTTTGCTATCTTTCATTAAAAACCTACATCCCATTAATCTAATTAATTTCGTCGCGACTCCCGAAGCGCGCCAAGTACACTATCTCCTCATTGAATGGCATGAAAACCAAGATTTTTTTTATACCCTCGCCATATATAAATTAATATGCATCTTTGTACTAGGAAATGAAGATTATAGCTAGACCAGTGCCAGTGGCGTAGCCAGCATCGATAATTGGGGGGGGTCCATATTCATATATTCGCGTAAACAGACTGTAAAGACAATTGATTTGAAAAGAAATTAATCCTGCGTATCACGAATATATGAATATGCCCCCCCCCAATTATCGTTCTGGCTACGCCGCTGGCCAGTGCATTGTTAACTGAATATAAGCAATATTGACAATGTGTGATTCGAAGTGTATTATTTTTTTAAAAAGAAGAAAAAACCTAAGATCATCCGGTTTCCTTTACATTTGTGGAATTAAATACACATAAAAACTCCAGCTATCGGTGTGCAAACACTCAGATCGAATTTTTGTAGGTCTTTATTATAAGCCGGACCATTACCAGGCTTAAGGCCTGGTTCACGCTGCATGGCTTCTAAGAATCGGGGATCCATTGTGATACTTTCCGATAGACAAAGCATGCATTTTGCGCACCAGTGACCTCAGACAAAGGGAATCCAAGATTCTTAAGACAAGTTTGAACCAAGCTTAATTCATGATGTGAAATCGAAATGATTTAAAATTTGAAATTATGCCTGAATGAGACTAAAATTAGTGATGTACGCTCAATTCTTACCTCATCATCTTACATATTTTACTCTAGACAAAGAAGCGCCTTATTATTCCAATTGTTCTCAGAAAATAGACAAAGAATTTATAGCAACACCTCCATACGCGGACAAAATGCGAGTTTCTTGGGAAGATCCGGTGTTTCAAGATAACTCAGGGATGAATCCTACGGTCATACCCAGTACCCCAAACGGTGCGCTCTTTAAAGAAGGACAACATCAGGTACAATGTGGCATGAAATTATTTAAAATATAATTTATATTGTCTCCTACGAAAAAGTGTGGTTTTGAAAGTGAAAAGTTGTGATGCAAAAATTAGTATTGTTCAAAATTCCAAAATATTTTGTATACTCTGTGATTTTCACTTGACAAAATGCTTCGAGGATCAGTTGAAGTTTGAAAGTAAATTATTTATATTGAAATAATTTATAAAAGACTGAGTATAGTCTTGTCAGTTTTTGCTTATAAACTTGCAACTGCATGACAAGGGAAAGATTAGAAACATTGTTTGGAATTAGCTGCAATTGCTGGACATTGCCAGGCGAAATTATAAGAAAAAATCTGTGGCATGCATGCATAATAAAGATCAGTAAAATGGCGATTTGCTGTAGTTCTGATCTTTGGTGTTATTATATATGAATGTAGATTACCTATACAGCCACAGATCCAAGTAATAACAGAAACGTCTCTTGTACGTTTGAAATTCACTTAAAAAGTAAGTAACTTTAACTTATCAAATTCCATAACATTGCACCTATTTATGGCCAAACTTATTAGATAAACGTCTTATGAGAAAGGTTTATATCGAGTGAAACGAAACCTTTAGTTATACTATTTTAACAGCAAACTCTACACCACAGACACAAGAGTGTGCAAAACGGAGTGTCTCAAAATTATAACTTAATTACTATTATAATTACGAACATTATGAAGTCACCGTCCGGCGTATTTTGATGTGTGTTTTAAACTCGATATTCTTCTTTTAAGAGATGTGAACGAGTTGATTCATAACTATACTCGTTTATGTCGCAGAAATTTGCAAGTGTAAAATGGACTTTTAACAGTATATTCATTTCGTCATTCTGCATGTAAAAAAGACCAGAAAAAATTATTGAGATTATTATCCAGATTATTTCAACCAATTTGTCGGCTTTTTGCGTGTGCCATCGAGCCTCTCATTAAGACCAGGCAAAACATACTAACAATTATAATTATGGTGATGCGATTATTTGACCTTTCTCCTTAGTTCCAACATGTGAATTACAAAAGCGACCTAAAAATGGTGCTTTGGTATGCCTGACTATCCCTTCCTATCAATGTCAACCCCTTTGTAAGGAAGGTTATGACTTTGGGTATAAGCCACAAGACCTCTATTATTGTGTGAACCGTGTTTGGCATTATTGGCCACCATTCCCACCTTTTCAACCAACTGTTTGGCCGGATTGTGCGCGTAAGTACATGCATTCCTATTAATGTCGCAATAATGATGGAAAATTAATCTTTTAGAGTTGCTTTTAAAAGGCGTGGACCGATCGACATAAATTATGTGGACGTCAGTCATGTCCAAGATTTTCGTTTCTTTTTCGCTGTTGAAATGATAGCCAAATAAGGCAGTAGCTATTTCAAACAAAAATATCTTGAACTTTTGAAAGTACTTAACTTAACACTAAATATAGGATTATAGGTTGAGAATAACAATTATGGGCTTCCAGGCATCTCGCAGCCTCTCTAAACAGAATTTAAATATAACGAGATTTGGTCCGTAAATAAGAGTATTTAAGCTGATTTATTAAACTGATACAATTTATTGTATGAAGTCGAGTGTGGTCCGTATCTGGACCAGCATCCCATTAATAACTGCATGATTATTGACCGACATTTTAAAATTTCATACCAGGCCGAGAAGATCCTAACAGCGGAACATTGAAAATGTCGAGTTCGTATTATTTCAAAGGAGATTGCAATGATTTGGAAGTCCAGGCTGATTTAAAAGAAAGATTTATCACCGTTGTTAGTGATCCTATGAAGTTCCTGAGATCATTCTGCGAATCGAATAAGAATTGTAAAGTGGAAAATATTCAGGTCTTCTGTGGTTCGGTTGATGCCTCAAGGAGACGAAGAAGAAGAAGGAATACCTTGGAAATGGAGGTACATTTTCTTTATTATTTTCCCCTCAAATAACTCAAGTGCAGGTCAATTGACAGTGAAAACGATTCATTGACTGTAAAAACAATCAATTCCAAGGAAGAAAATAATTTATATTAATTTAGTTTTGTTTGGTAGATTTGGGGTCTCGTAATGTTTGAAAATCACCCCGGCTGCTCATCCAATTCTTGGCACAATTTTCAAACATCACCCGTAATATTATTAAATCCACCCCGAATATATAATACTCACCATCGCATGAATATAATGCTCGCCATCGACATTAGTTTAATCATTTACAACAAATACACGCATGCATGCACCCCTCGCCAACCCAATCCAAACAACCGATTTCCCTAGCTGCCAAGTCTAAGCTGACTTTATGACTCAAATGAATCAAATGCTGGTTTAGTCAAATATAGTCATAAACATCACCTGTTTTTCAAATGCTTCAAGCAGGAAATTTATTAGTCTATGCCCCAGGTACAATTTATGCACTCTTACAGCCTATTAATGGTAGGAAATTCAACATTCAAAACGTCAAAACAATACAAAATCTTCAGGGACTAAACGTGCTGACGTTCTCAATTAAATACAAACTCCGCCTAGCCAATCAGGACATTGCGGATTACCAGTCTTTACTCGCCAAATTTCGCACATGCGCATAACTAACAAAACCATCCAACGTCGACCGTCCATGACATTTAAAATGACAGAATTTGGACAACTTTGGATTCCGCTGTGTTTTTTCAAAATACGCTAGTGTAATGAATCTCCCAGCGGAATTAGGACGCCTCGTACCGCCTTGGGAACAATAATATAAAAAATGATTTCGCAGCGAAATTAAGAAGTATGTTTAACTACATTCAATATAATTATTTCTTTTTCTCAATGCTGATTTACTTTTTATTCTATAGTTTCATATTCAAGCAGATTTCACCGTCACGCCGAGTAAAACAGTCGGAAGTCAAGCCGATTTCCAAAAGCTTAAGACTGAAATGAAAAACCAGTACCTTGGTGAGGTTAAACAAAATGTTAATAATGTAAACTGGAAGAATGAAATGAAAATGGATTTAGTCAAAACACCAAACGTCCTTCCACCGGAGCCGTATTGTTCTGGCGTAAATGGTGCGGTTGTTGGAAGATGCGACTATTTAAACCACAACTGCAAAAACAACTTTAACAGTTACCCTGCTGACACCAGCTGCCTATGCAATAAAGAAAACGGAAAAATTGAGAAATGCAGTGAGTCTTAAGGATTATTATTTAAGGATTATAAGTCTTTCGAATAAACAAGACATCAGGCAATACATGATTCATACAAATAAGCCACGATTAAAACTGTAAAATTTTGACTTTATTTCGAAGTCACCTTCAAGAAGATAAGCATGCATGCATGACTTGTTTTTTTCCACCAAACATACAAATAAGCAAGGATTAAAACTGTAAAATTTTGACTTTATTTCGAAGTTACCTTCAAGAAGATAAGCATGCATGCATGACTTGTTTTTTTTCCACCAAACATACAAATAAGCAAGGATTAAAACTGTAAAATTTTGACTTTATTTCGAAGTCACCTTCAAGAAGATAAGCATGCATGCATCACTTGTTTTTTTTTCACCAAACATACAAATAAGCCACGATTGAAACTGTAAAATTTTGACTTTATTTCGAAGTCACCTTCAAGAAGATAAGCATGCATGCATGACTTGTATTTTTTTCACCAAACATACAAATAAGCCACGATTAAAACTCTAAAATTTTGACTTTATTTCGAAGTCACCTTCAAGAAGATAAGCATGCATGCATCACTTGTTGTTTTTTTTCACCAAACATACAAATAAGCAACGATTAAAACTGTAAAATTTTGACTTTATTTGGAAGTCACCTTCAAAAAGATAAGCATGCATACATGACTTGTTTTTTTTTCACCAAACAGCTGAACTAACTGAAACTCGGAAAATATTGTTCTTCTATTTATTCTATTTGCCAATGTAACGTTTTCTCTATTGTTGAGTAATACCGCTGACCTAATTCTTATCCTCTGATATGTCGCTACTAGGGTATTTACAGTAGAACTTGACTAAGTTTTTTACTAATTTCATTTAGTTCAATGTCCAGTTGGAAAATACTATGACGCCGGGGATAGAAAATGTAAGCTGTGCAGTAACGGCACATACCAAGATGCTGAAGGCCAATTTGGTTGCAAAAAATGCCAACCTGGTTTTTACACGTTGGGAAATGATGAAAAGAATTTCACATCATGCAAAGGTAAACTATCCCTTGTGCTGCACTGTCATACACGCATGGGTAGCTAGGGCGAAGGCCAGAAAACCCCGCTCCCTAGTAAAATTTTGGGGTCCTGTGAAAATATGAATTAAACCCTGTTACACGAGCTAGCCCATTGACTATAATAATTTTTTACGAACTTTGTCCCGAATAACAATGGCGGCCTATTCCCCCCTACAGTACTGTCCAGAAATAACCTAATAAAAACCACGGTTATAACCGCGGTCAGACCGAGGTCGAACCGCGGTGAGACGGAGGTGAGGTCTCACCGACTCTGACAGAAATTTCTTAAGATTTTTTCGATTTGATTATTGCGTTGTCGTTCTCAGCAGTTCATAATATTCCGTTCGGAAGCGAAAGGCAACCGCGATCGTATTTTTTCTCCTGCGGTCGTCTGCGGTTTCTATCGGTCGACCGGAATCGAACGGCAACCGAACAACTACCGAACGGCAACCGCAGTGTTACTTTATTTTTGGACAGCACTGTAGACCCTCTCCGAAAATCTTGGCTACGCTTCTGGTCATGCATATCGGGCACGTTCATATAGGAGTGTCAGAAGCACGCTGGACCTGATAATGATTGTTTTGACTATTAGGTGAAAATTTTTAAAACCTGAAGTAATTAATAAAAACTAATAAAAGAAGTATATTATTATAATTTTGTCCATAATAGTATTTTTTCTCTACGGTGTGTTGTTTGGGTAGCAATGTCAAGCCGTCTTTTTTTCACGATGCATATTTTTTTCTTACAGAAATATGCAAGCCTGGTTATTTCTCCTTAACTGGATTAGGTCCTTGTCGGCCATGTGGTCTCGGGTATTACAGCACTGGAACTTGGAGCACTAAATGCAAGCAGTGCCCAGCTGGGACTACAACGGTTCTGCCTGCTGCATCAAAGATAGAAGAGTGCGGAAGTTAGTATATAAATGATTGGAAAAAAAGTTTAGTAATAATTCTCGTTCGCACAACTCATTGCATAGAATACTCTGATTCTTCACATGCCTATACCACTTCATGACCTACTTTAATTGATGTCAATTCGAATAAGTGTCATTTCTCATTACCATCAGGATTATTCGTTACACTTATCTTTGATTATAGTGAAGTGTGCTCCAGGTACATATTCGTCCAGTGGTGTTGAACCGTGCAAACCTTGTGAGAAAGGATTTTATCAACCCGAGGAGGGAAAACTAAGTTGTTACCCTTGCAAAGGGAAGAAGTCAACTTATGGCCCAGGAGCAAAAACGGAAGCCCGTTGTCTAGGTAAATTAGTATACGTCAGAAATAGTAGATCAGTTGGAAGACATTGAAGACTAGCAAACCAAAGATCACTGCTCAATTCCCACCGTGGTCAAGCTAATTTTTCAATTTGCCTGGTTGGTAACCATCACATTAATCCATACACCCACGGCCTGAGTCATACGCATACGCTGTTACGTCAGACGTAAATGGAATATAGGTTTGTCCAACTGAATTGAGTTCGCGAATGAAGGTTTAATAAAAATGTAGGGCATTAAAAACTTTTGCCAAAATCGCTATTCGGAGAGACGGTTGCATGCTGTTTCAAAGCTCGATTACCGCCCACGAACCATGTATAAAAACTGGCCTTTGCGAATGCGAAGATCATCTGTTTGAAAAAGTGAGTTTTTTCTTCAGAAATCAATACTTTTTTCTTTAGAAATCAACAACTGTGCCTCGAATCCTTGCAACAACGACGGGAAATGTTTAAACAAGCGGGAAGGCTATGAGTGTGAATGTCGGGACGGTTTTAGTGGAAAAACTGTGACGACGAAGTCAGTCAGTGTCTTTCAAATCCTTGTTATAGTAACGCCGAATGTGTTGATAAGGTAAGGTGATTCAATTATTTGACATTTGTATATTCCCAAAGTCAGTTAAAGAGTGGTTTTATCATATTAGTGTATAAGGACCAAAACATTTTTGAGAAACTTAACGCTGATGCTCACTGCAGGGTCTCCCCCCATCCCTGGCTTGAAGAATTAGAAAATTAGTCTACGTGGTCATTACTTGATTGTCTTACTTGATTGATCCCTATGATTAGGATAAATGTTAGGGTATGATTCGCAAAGATTTGAGTAAAACTGCATGGTCCCGACCATACAATTTTTATCACTCTCAGAACAGCAAGGGAAAATTTTGTTGCAATATTGTTGGCAATAATATAAGTCTGTAGTTATAAAGCAGTGCAGGAATGCTGTGATCGATACAAGCCATACAAAGTTATAATAAAGAAGGTCTCGTTTTATTTTCAATTTCAGATCGACGGCTATGAATGTCTCTGTGCACCAGGTTTTGGAGGTGTGAACTGCGACGAACCTCTTCCTCAATGTGGAAGTAATCCATGTAAAAACAGTGCCAAATGTATCGAAACTCCCGGGTCATATGTGTGTAAATGCCAGAATGGCTGGGCAGGGAAATTCTGCGAGGTAAACCGAGATGATTGTTTCAAGAAACCCTGCAAGAACGGTGGGATATGTCGAGATGACGTCGATGGCTTCCGGTGTGAATGCGTGGCTGGATATAAAGGCGATCAGTGTGAGATTAATGTAGATGATTGTGCCAGTGATCCTTGTGGTCAAAATGGAAAGTAAGTAGAAATATAAAGTGGGGAAATAATTCTTTCCCATGAATACTACATTGGGTCTTCAATAATGTATTTCTCCCAAAATGATTACTTAAGAAAATATTTTTGGTGCTGATTTCAATCGAACCCTTCAGGGGCGTTAACACTATCAGATTCGGGGGCGTAGGACCCGAGGGACACATGATGCACTGAAAGTTTTTCAAGGGACCAAGAGTGTGATGAAAAATGCCTTTTTAGTGAAGCTAATATAGCTGTAAATACTGTTTTAAAATCGAAGGTGCCTTTTTTTGTTTCCTAGGTATGCCCACCTACACGTGCCCAAATCTTTTTGATGAGCATAAATATAAACCAGTAGTGGTGTCCTTGCAATTTGGCAATCATGCCTTCCTTATACATATTTTTAGCTGCCCTTTTTATTAACCAAAAGTGCCCCTGGAAGCTGGTGCCCCCCTCCCCCAAGCTCTTGATGCTTCCCACGCCCCTGATCCGACTGTCAAACTAGCATTTCTTTGTCGAAGTTACTATCAATATTTTTCTTTGACGCCTTTGTCCTATTATTCCCAAGCCCTGTGGTTTAAATCGGGACCATCTTCATTTCCAGGTGTGAAGACAAGGTGAACGGCTATATTTGCCATTGCATGGCAGGATATACAGGAGAAAGATGTCAAACCAGAATTAATCATTGCAATAGTTCCCCTTGTCAACGAGGAAAATGTGTGGAAAAGGATGGAAGCTTCGAATGTCAATGTCCTCCAAGATATGCTGGAAAATCCTGCGAAAAAGGTAAATTCAAGAGCTGTAAAAAGGGGAATAAGTCGGGAAGAGGAAATTCATTTATCCCTCCTGGTTGACAGATTTCTAGGTTATTGTGATTTCAAAAAAAATCTCCCCAATAGAATTGAATAAATGAACATCTCACCCCCCTAATTATAGTTAGTTACGTCCCTGTACAATACCTTTTTGATTTCCTCTTTTTAATCTTAACATTAGCTGATTGTCGATCACTTTATGGCAATACTGTATTGCTGGCGTGTAATGTCGTTATTAAGATTTTATTCCAATGCGAATTTCCCTTTCAGAATACTCGTCGGATTACGATCTATCATTTACAACATCAGAAATCAGAACATTCTCAAAGCGAAAACTATACGAAAACCTTCGTGCCGTCACTGTTGCTTTCTGGATGAGAACAGACGACCAGGAAAATGCCGGCACTCCACTTTCATATTCAGTGAAACAGGGTCAATATGTTCAAGAGAATGGCTTGGTTGTTCAGGATTATGGAAGCCTAACCATTCAAATAAACAACCAAACTGGTTACATTGCTGACCGAATAAACGACGGACGATGGCATCATGTTGCGGTCACGTGGCAGAGTAGTAATGGTATATGGGTGTACTATCGTGACGGCAAAGAAATTAGGCGCGCATCAAACCCGATTGCCAAAGGTAATATCTTTGTCTAACTTCACTTGGTTTATTTAGGAGTCGTTTACTAAAATGAAAATACAAAATTCAAACTTCTTCGTATGAATGCATGTATTTCTCAAAAAAATTAGTAAATTGTTTTTAATTCTTAATAAATAGAAAAAAACAGGAGAACATGAATGAAGAGAAATTTATAAAAGCTTGCCGAATGTAGTCGAAATTTATCAATACACGCCTATAATCATAACCAATAGGTTGGCTAACTAGTGTAAAATTAGCATACATGACTCAGAAAAGATAATTTTCGAAATCGACGACATGTTTCATTACTTTTAGGCGATTACATCAGGGCCGGAGGCCAATTCGTGCTTGGTCAGGAACAAGATTGGGAAGCAGATGAAGACCAATTTACATATAATCCTTATGAAGCATTCCTTGGTGATATGAGTCAAATGACCGTCTATAACACCGTATTGTCCGCACAGGACATTTATAATCTAGCCGGAAGCTGCATGAATTCCAGGAATGATGCTGTGGTTATTTCGTGGGCCGATTTTGTTCCTGAACTGACTGGTGAATTTAGGAAGACCCCAAAGTCCTATGCTTGTGATGGTAAGTCAGATATATAGCCCCGTTTGTGTTTCTCGTAATTTCTCTCTCTTTCGATAAGAAAATTATCTTTATTCAAAACTATAAACAAAAATGAGGGAGTTAAGTGTTTAACAAAAAAAAAAGAAGCAATATTTCACGTACAAAGCTAGTACAGAGACCAGTCACCATTAATATACAGATAGAGACCTGTTTCTAGTTTTGACTAGTGTTTGTGTCTTTTTGAGAGATATGAACAAGTTACAAATGTGTTAATGGAACTTTATTGCATGATCATAACATTCGTAACTGTCCTCTTTATAAAAAGTTTAAGCGGGCCTTAAGCTATTGCTTGCGTTAACGGCAACCCAAAGTATAAGATTGAATTCACGCTAATAAACTTGCCTGTCTCAATAAAACAAAACCGTAAGATTCTAAAGAACCTTTAAGAGTTACCATATTTTCTTATCTAAATTTTCACATAAATGATTACCTTTTTTTCAGTCTCTGCTTTACTTCGTCAATTCGTGACCGTGTACAATGCCAAACTCCCATCAAACGACCACAAGACATTGCACGGGGTCTCACCGGAAGATTGTGCAGTGAAATGTACACAAGAAACTGGATTCCCATGCAGATCATTCGATTACCACAGTTCTTCAAAGAAATGTTATCTCAGTCAATCGTATCGTCATAATGTTGCCGTATCACATCCGGATAATACTGGACACGACTACTATGAATTGAGTAAGTAATTAATAGAGCTTTCTAGTCCTGGGAGGGAGTTATCGAACCTCTGTACTCTCCCTCTCTCTCTCTGAACTCCCTCTGTAACCTTCAAAAGCTTCATGAAGTTTAAAACAGTTCAATATAGTTCTGCATGATATGAGAGTCATTTAAACCGCTGCATCAACCTATTATACAGATAATCAGTTATCTGCGAGGAGATAATTAAATTATCCGTAGTTTTATTCATAACGTTCAAAGTAACTACATTGTGCAATAATTTATATTTAGTTCTCTATTATTCTTATACATATATGAGTTGCATATAAAAATTTATTTGACATATTTTTGGAGAAATACGCTACTTCGTGTACTACATGCGACCTTCACAATTCATGAGCCATACCTGAGCCATAAATGCATGCACTACCACTTTAAGACACACGGGCATGGAAGGGACTAGATTGAGTTACGAAATCACACGTACTAGTCATATCTATTATCACTGACCATCACGAACCATCTTTGACCTTGATTGATAAGAGATCAGGTATATGACCTTCATCAGTAGAATGTAAACTTCAAGATTTGACATATTCCAACTTCGACGGATGTCGAAAACCTGTACTACGGTTGAGCGGATGAACTGCTCACTAGAGAATCTGATTTCTCGCATTTTCACAAATAAATATAATGAAAAGCGTAGAACATAGTCTTATTTTTTTTTAAATAATGTTTTAAAAACTATGGTTTCGCTAATCTTAACTTAGATTGTGTTGAAATGCTTGGTGTGGAAGACCACGTCATCTCAGATGCACAAATGAGTGCAAGTTCTGCACGTTCATCACTCAGTAGTGCCAAAAATGCTCGAGCCAATGGAGTAAAAGCACAAAATATCAAAGGAGTTCCTGATAGTGATGGCGGATGGATACCCAGCTCCTTTAATCACGGTCAATATCTTCAAATTGATCTTGGGAAAAAAAAGATAATTACTGGAGTGGAGACACAAGGGGCTGATGGTCATCATTACTGGGTGAAAACGTATCAAGTACAATACAGTTCTAATGGACACACGTGGAAAACATCACCCCAGGTAAACAACGAAAACCCATGTTGGTTCGCATACTATGGATGGTATATTATCATGTTTTGATTACTAGGAATGTAAAAATGATCGCCATTCGCAATCAGAATGTATTTATGATGAGAATTAATTTCGAACTACAAAATTAACCAAAATTAATGAAACTTGAATGTTGCTGCAGATATGGTTTGGGAGAATGATGGCAGAACTACACAACTATCGCCACTAATCGTGTTCTTCATTCTCCTGAGCCACGCCCTACAATTTAATTCAACCCCAGACCTTTCCACCGCTACTGTTGGTATACAACAAAGTTTTACTACACAAACAAAGGAGATTGCTTTTGCATTATCCAACCACCACGAATGCATTTGGTTTAAAAAGTGTAATCATTGTATGATATAATGATTTTATCAATAAAATAATTCATGAACGAACAATCGTTTTTTAGACTTTCACTGGCAATTCAGACAACAAAGGTCGAAAGAAAAATGAAGTAAATATCGTTGCTCGATTCATTAGATTCAAACCTTTGACTTGGCATAATGGAATTGGAATGAGGGTTGAAGTTTATGGTTGCTCTCTTGGTTAGTTTATTGAAATTCTTCACAGCTAACATAGTTCTAGAGTATAGAAATACGTTGCATAAACCAATTTTAATATGCTTCTATTTTTTTCAGAACATGAAGGAACTCCTTCGGATGGAGCTAGTGTCTCCGCATCTCATTCAGGTAGAGCATTTTCTAATACATGTGTCGATTTAGTATCGATAATGATAAAAGCATATTTTTCTATATAAATCTCCTTTGTTTTATTGGTTAACTTGTATAAAATATACCAGAAGCTGACCTAGGAGAAAATAAATAGATTAGTTACATTGGGACCCATCTTCAAACCAGGTACTTTCTTCTATAATTTGTGGCCCCTAATCTGATGAGTATAGCACTATAATAATAAGTATGAAGCTCCTTAAAGCTTTGGTTTTTCTGATAATTGTTCTACATTTTTAAGCAAAAATTGCATTTTACACCCATAGTATAATAATACAACAGAAAATCTCGTTGTTAGTTTAAAAATATATTTATAAAATTAATATATAAAATTAGTTACAAAAATTATTAACACTTCCTTTATTTTCAGGTTCATGTTCCCCCAATCCTTGTCGTAATTCTGCTCAATGCACTGAGATTCCTTATGGATACGCATGTAAATGTCCTGCAGGGTACACAGGCCATAACTGTGAAACAGGTAACCCAAAACCTATTACATTCTAAAGAATTGGATATAAGGAAGTAAATTTATAAATATATGCTGAGCCATCTCAACTATGCCTTCTTTTTAGAACTCGCTTGTAATGATCCAGGAACTCCAGTGAATGGTCATCGCAGTGGATCAAATTTCATGGCAGGCATTACTATTCAGTATTCATGTAAATCTGGATACAAAATTGTGGGACATTCCAGCATAACCTGTTCAAGGGGAAAATGGTCTGGAACAACTCCGACATGCGAGAGTAAGATAAACAATGGTGCATCTTGTCCTTTTTAACAGCTTGCTGAATACTTCATATGCCAATTGAAATTATGATTATGTTTAGACATAAACGAGTGTACATCAATGACATCAGGATGTAACCATCGTTGCACTGACCTCCCGGGTTCTTTCAAATGTTCCTGTGTCGCTGGATACCGGCTGAGTGGCAATGGAAAGACTTGTCAAGGTATGGAGTTAGGAATGACTGTTGTGTGGTATTATACCTAGAAAACGTGCAATGTTGGTGGGGATATATCTATATGTGGGGATATATATTATATATACACACACAAACATATTTCATATTATATCATTTTTATTAAGACATCAATGAATGTATAGAGAATGTCTGTAGTCATGGTTGCATCAACAGTGCAGGATCGTTTCGATGCACATGTCCTCACGGAATGGTATTACGTGGTTCGGGAACAAGATGCGAAGGTATTGGTTTCAACCATAATGACCGCGACACACCCTTCACCAACGCAACGAGATTTTTTACGAATTTTTCAGCTTTTAAAGGCGGCTAAGTTTCGTCATTTATGATATTCTTGATGAATATAGAACGATAGTTAACATTTTCTCTTGTCTGGGGCACATAGCTCTTGAAATGTCCTTACAGAATTAAATTTATTTCTGAAAACTGAAAATTTACGTCGCGTTGGCATCGCGTTCAGTGTTTCGGGGCTTCAAAATAAAATGAATTTCGTCGTCCAGCGCAGGTTTCTACTCATGAATGCGAACATTCCCTAAAACGAGGTAATCCTGACTGAAAATCTTTCGCAGATAAGAACGAATGTGATACCAAGAATGGTGGTTGCGCTCATCACTGTCTCAACACATACCTTGGTCGTAAATGCTACTGCAAACATGGATTCGTTCTGCAGAATGACGGCGTCTCGTGTACAGGTAATTACAAGAAACCACGGTCAATTGATTTCGGTTTAATGGAGTCGCTGAAACAAAATTGAAAAGTGCCTTAAACAGAATTAAGTTAAGACAATCCTTTCCTGTTATATATAACGAAAGGCTGACCGATCTTTAATGTGATTTAGAAATTCGGGTCGAAGACAAGTGATTGTGACGTCATAATGTGGGAACTATTCTGAGGAATTTTCCATATATACTACGCCCTAAAAAATTGGCCACGGATTTTTTAAGTATTCATTTTGAAAGGGTTAAATTATGATCTTAATAATTATCTTACAAGAAAGTGCTTCGTTATAAGTAACCAAGCTGTGAAACAATTTTGAATTGTGTTGGATTTTAGCTGGAAGAATTGAAAAATGATGTACATTTAAGTAAATTTTTACCTCAGATATAAATATTGGTGAAATAGTATGGATTTCTATTAAATTTCCCTCATCATTTGTGATTAATTATAATAAATTGTGTTGGATATTTTCAATTAAACTGCCGTAATTATGCTAATCATTTTCATCATGATTTTGATAGAAAGATTTATTAATGGTGTTCTTCTCGTTCAGAGGCCAGTTGTCCTAATCCAGTTCATCCGCATAATGGTAAATACTCAATAAATGGTGCTTCTGTATTTGGAAACTCTGTCTCATTCAGTTGTAATGATGGATTCAAACTGGTTGGCTCAGATGAGAGGATTTGCATGGCAGATAAAACATGGTCTGGGGTTCAGCCTCTGTGTAAACGTAAGCTTTTATTAACCCTTTTTATTTAATGTATTCGTATTTCTTACACAGATCTATCATTCTATCTTAAACTTAATGCCCACTAAATTTGGTTTTTATTTTATATAGCTGTAAGATGCGCAGACGTAGGTACTGTTGATCACGCAAACTTGCAGCAAACTGGCAATGGTTATAATAGTCTCGTGACATTCACATGTGGTTCATCGTACCGTCTGCTGGGAGTCTCAACGAGAACATGTGGCAAGACAAGCAACTGGAGTGGATCGCAGCCTCTTTGCGTGCGTAAGTGAGGAAATTCCCTATTTTTTTATTTACCCATAAAAAGGAGACTTTGCAACGCCACTTTAAGCACACTTTGATACTCTAACAACTGTGCATGATCATTTTTACGAACGGATCCGAAAGCAAATTTTAGTATTTCAAATTATAACATTCCGGCTGAATAATTATAATGTCGCTATCCAGTCTAAAACCTGTTTTCTAAAAGCTCACTTAGACTCTTTGGGTGTGACATAGAAAATTTGTTATTACTCATATAATTATTAGGACGTCCTTCCTTAAGCAATGGAAGTTTTATTCCAGTGCATGGAAATGCCATCATGGAATCGTTACGACGTAATTGAGATCTCTCACTCGATGAGTTTGAGTGTGAGCTTTTAGAATACAAGCATCAATCTTTTCTTTGTGTTTTAGTATATTGCTGGGTTTTTAAAAAATAGCTTGATTTAGTTCTGGTCAAAAAAATGCAAATATTCATATACTCATGTTAGCAGACCGTAAAAACAATCAATTTCAAAAGAAACTAATGATTCTGAATGTGAAAATATGAATATTCCCCCATGCACTTAACGATCTTCCGCAGACCCCGCGTTCATATGACTGAGAAATTCCTCGTTTTTTTCTTCCAGCGAACTACTGTCCAGCGCTTCAAGCACCAGTACACGGTAGGATAAATGGTTTCCGGTCAGAACTTGGTGCTACCGTTGGTATTGCTTGTGATGTTGGTTATGCAGTCAAGGGAACATCTTTCAGAACTTGTGAACAGACAAGAAGGTGGTCCGGATCTCATCCTACCTGTGAATGTAAGAAACTATGAACACTTAGTATAGAGATTACGGGTACATGTCTGTCACCCCGTCGCCCATTATGTAGCTATATTCATTGCTTAGAAAAAATGATAAATAATGAAGATCAGGTGTAAGAGTATTGATCACATTGAGAAAATTAGCAATGTTTTTCGCAATATCATGAATATCTTTCCCTTTTTCAAAGTGCCATATGTTAACGTTACTTGGTTTATTTTGAAAATATTTTTTTGTGTATTCATAGCAATTGTAGCTAAATAATTTTGATCTTTTAGTGGTGGATTGTGGAAATCCAGGCGAACCACAACATGGTTATCGTCATGGTAATAATTACAAATATGACTCAATCATCAACTTCAGCTGTAAAAACCGGCATCACCTGGAAGGTGCCAACACAATAAAATGTGAAGCTAATGGAAAATGGAGTGCACTGTTACCAAAGTGCTTGGGTGAGCAAAATAAAATACATTATTGTAAAGAAGTTAAATTTATGATTTTTTATCCCATCTGTTAGTATCATTATTCACTTTAAAGGCCCCGCATAGAAAGTATCACCCAAGGGCAAAAACAGTAGCGTAGTCAGCCTGACGATTTGTCCCGCTATGCTAATATTTTGGTGTTTATTGACGGTGAAAACAATAAATTTCTAAAGACATGAATTATTATAATAACTCGAAATTTACATAGCGGGACAAAATCGTCAGGCTGGCTACGCCACTGGGCAAGACATTTCCCCTTTTAGCCTGCTTGGAGAACCTCATTTCAAACATATACTTTGTTAACATAAGATGAGATGTTTTTGTATGTCAAATAATATGTGCTTTAGCGGCTGCTATTATAATATGACTGTGAATCATGTATATAGGGTGTAAATATTATGAATTATATCATTTTGAAATTTTAACCCATTCTTGTGCCACAATTTGTTGCAACTTAGCTAACTTAACGATTAGTGGAAACAAAATGGAAACAATAGTTTTGACTAAAAATCGTTAAAATTAAATAATTTTTTTGAAACTTCTTGGAAAAATAAATAAAACTGGAATGGACATTCTTAAAAACATTTAACACCGCTAGTGTGGTGAACAGAAAAAAGTTAAAGGCAGCTTGGCTGAAATTTCAATTACTTTTAGCTCGATCATGTGGCAATCCAGGTGTCCCATACAATGGATTCAAACATGGTGATACGCACACATATGGCAAGAAGGTGTCCTACACATGCCAGCAAGGCTATACACTGGTGGGTGATCGCGAAAGGACATGTGAACAGAGTACAGCAAAATGGACCGGGTCTTTACCTTCTTGCAATTGTAAGTATATAGTGCTTCTTTTTAAAAGGTAGTGCCAAAATAAGGTTTAATGCTCTGAGATCACTTCGACTTCTAGCTCGACTATTTTTGAGTGAATACACTGTGAGAGGAGAAGAAAATATTTTAAAACATGTTTAAACAATAGTCATCGCAGGTATACTCATTACTGAACTCTTTCTTGTCAATTTTTACTTCAGTGGTGAACTGTGGTGAGATTCCAGCACCAGCAAACGGCTACAGAGTTGGATCATTGTATACATATGACAAAGTACTAGCATTTGATTGTAATCCTGGATACAAGTTAGTTGGAACACAGTACAGGAAATGTCAGGAAAATGGTTTATGGAGTGGATCGGCACCTACCTGCGTGGGTTAGTTTAATCAATAGGAATGTATACAACAAGACTAGGGACCACCGATGTTGCTTTGCAATGACTTTCACTTTTTAATACTTTTTTAATCGGTGATAAGTAATTTTTTCTTGGTACCCTCAGTCCTAGAATGTTAGGTGCTTCCTGTTCCATGATCTATAATAGAATTTGCATTTTGTAATAATATATTGAAATTTACAATGGCCTCTCAAACAGTAGCCAGGAAAATCCATTTCGCCAGATTACACATGTCAAACTACCCACTTAATACTAATATTAAGTCTCTGTTTCACGGTGCTATTTTTCATGCAACTTGCAATACTATTCCTACTTTTGATAGATTTAAATTTGGCATCTACGAAAAGTCTTTGTTTATCACACTTAATAGACGATTTTTAAGACTCATTAATTTACATCTCCAAAAGTATAAATGTATCCAAAGTTAAAAGAAACATTCCATCGTGCATGTAAAAGCACCTTTATATTGATTGATCTTCACTTTTTTATAGCTACATCTTGCGGCTCTTTCAAACACGGTCCTTCTGGTGAAATCGAGTCTCCTAACTTCCCATCACCCTACGACAACGATCTGTATTGTACCTGGAAAATTACGGTCCCCACCGGCAAGAAGGTTCGTATTGAATTTTCCGAGTTCAAGACTGAAGCTGGCAAAGATTTCTTGTACATCTTTGATACTGACAAAACTGAACCCATTCTGGAGTTCTCAGGGGTGGGGTATAAACCTCGTGCCATCACCTCGTCTGGTAAAAGCATGAGGATAAGATTTGTTTCGAACAGCGCTACAGCAAGCAATGGATTCCGTCTGACATATTCACAAGTTGGTAAGGTTTATTTAATTTTTCCTACTATGCTCTATGCACATAACGTCAATCATGATATATGCTATGACTATACTATGCACCTGTTGCTATGGCCATGATATGCACCTGCTGCTACGACCATGCTATTCACCTGCTCCTATGACTATGCTATTCACCTGCTGCTGATTTACCCATGCTATGTACCTGCTCCTATGACTATACTATTCACCTGCTGCTATGACCATGCTATGCACCTGCTGCTATGACCATGCTATGCACCTGCCCCTATGACTATGCTATGCACCTGCCCCTATGACCATGCTATGCACCTGCCCCTATGACTATGCTATTCACCTGCTGCTATGCACATCAAGTCAATCATGATTTTAATCTCTTCCCATAAAGAATTAAGACCCGTTAAAATTAATGATCTCATAGATGTATATATACTTTAATTTAGATTGTGGTGGAATGCTCACTGCACCAGTAGGTGCTATAACAAGTCCTGGTTTCAAGGGTCAATACCCCAGCAATCGTGATTGTATCTGGCTGATCCATATGCCTGGAAAACAAATTGACTTGTCATTTTCCCACTTTAACACACAGCAGAGTTACGACCGCGTGGAAATCTATCGTGGGCCAAAGAGTACTGATAAACGACTGGTGAACTTAAGTGGCATATTACTTCCGCAAGGCAAATTTGTCTCAACCTATTATATGTATCTTAGATTCACGACAAACGCACAAAATGACCGGAAATACTATGGATTCAAAGCAAATTATTTGGAATATTTGTATTAGGCGGCATACTATCTAATAAATGACATTGTTTTAGCGTGAAATTTGTTTGCTTTGTCTGTTGTTTTTCCGTCTGTAAGCGTAAGAGATCTTAAACCCTGGTTTCCAATTGTCGTAATTGTTGTGAACAAGTAAATTTTCACCGATGACATTTAGTTAGTTTGATCCCCTAAATTCAAACCGGCCATTGCTGATTGCACACTCGCTCAATTTAACTTTTCGAGATTTTGATCCGAATATTAAAACTTCGAAAAATTAACAAAAAAATACCAGTTTTCCTTATCCTCTGTTACCTAGTTTTCCTGCCATTTTGAATCTTTTAAGGTATCATTTTAGTGCCAAAATATACTGTTTTCATCACATTTCACTTTGGGATTATTTGGAGGTGTTTTGAAACGAATTTTTAATTTTCGAAAATATTGGCGAAAATTAGGATTTTTCCTTCGGTTCTCCGTTACCGATTTTACAAAAGTGACGATTTCGAAAGAGTATAATCTTATGTGCTGAATTGTACAGTTTTTATTGTTTTCGTCAAAGAATGTAATTTCACTTTGTAATTTCACTTCACAATTGAAACCATTTCGATCTATTTTTTACTAAATTTTGAAATTTCGAAAAATTGAAGAAAATTACCATTTTTCCTTCCCCCTCATAACCGATTTTCCAAAAGTTTTGAAATTCTTTGAGGTATAATATTATGTTCTCTAATCTACTGTTTTCCTCACAGAATGTAATTCCACTTAGTCTTCGACTATTTCGTGGTATTTTGAGAAAACGAATTTTGAAATTTCGAAAATAGACAAAAGTAACGATTTTTCTTTTGTCTCCCTGTTCACTACGCATAACGCATTTTGCGAAAATTTTGAATTTTCTCATGATAAAAATTTATATTCTGAATGTAATTCCACTTAGTTTTCGACTATTTCGCGGTAGTTTGAGGAAATCAATTTTGAAATTTCGAAAATAGACAAAAATAACAATTTTTCTTTTGTTTCCCTGTTCACTACGTATACGCATAACGCATTTTGCGAAAATTTTGAATTTTCTCAAAATAAAATTTTACATTCTGAAGTTTGAAATTTCAAAAATTAGCACCGTGTTTTGAAATTTTAAAATTTTAAGTTTCCACCCCTATTACGGATTTTCCAAATAGAATCCTAGGTAGCCTAAAGGTATTTGTGTTTTAATCTAAAGCGTCCATCCAGTTTAATATCGCGGTCTGTCACGTAAACACCAATTGCTATATTTATACAAATATAGCAATTGGTGTTTACGTCACAGACCACTGGTCTGTGGTCACAATCACCGATCTGTGACGTAAACACCAATTGCTATATTTATACAAATGTAGCAATTTATGTTTACGTCACAGACCGCGATATTAAACTGGATGGACGCTTTAGATTAAAACACAAATACCTTTGGGCTACCTAGGATAGAATGCAATTTAGATTGACGAAAATTACGAATTTTCCTTCGTTCCTCCTTCGTTGGAAAGTCATTCGCAAGAATCTCGTAAAATTCAGTGTAATGTTCGCTCGTGATATCTGATGGATTTCTCATCCATAATGGTTTCGTCTTGTTCAGTTCTTCTTCATCAATGTATTTCTTCATGACTAAATTTTTGAAGTTTTGCAAGATATCATTTTATGTGCCCGAATATAGTTTCAATCAAAGAATGTAATTCTGCTTAGTTTTGGAGTATTCAAAATAATTTAAGGCGAATTTTGAAATTTTAAAAATTAACGAAAACTACCATTTTTCACTTGTTCTTCCGCAACAGATTTTGCTAAATTTTGGAAATTCTGCAAGGTATGATTTTATGTTTTCAATGGCACTCTTTCCACCACAGGATGTAATTTCGCTCAGTTAATTTTGAAGATTTCGGAATTAAAAAAATAGTTATAATACTTCTATTCTTAATTCTTGAAAATTCTTACAATTTTTCAAATTTTTAAATTTCTGACATACATACTGGTATTATTTTTTTAAGGTTTTTAAGCATTTTGACCAAATTATATTTAAAATTTTCACCATTTTTCAAATTTCTGGCCTATATCTATAGCGTTTTTCAATACTTTTCAAAATTTTTAAATTTGATTTTAAAATTTTTCAAATTTTGAGAGATACCAAAGTAAAATTTTTAATTTTGACTTCTATACTATTTTGTTTTAAATTTCAATATTTTTCCTATTTTTAAACTTTTTAGAGTTTCTGACGTATTTACTAGCAATTTAAGAATTTTTTGAAATTTTTAAAAATATTTAAAAATATAACTTTTAAAGTTTGTATTTCTTAATTTAGAATTTTTCAATTTTTAAAATTTCTGACATATGTACTAGTTTTTGCTAAATTGATATGAGTTTTGAAATCTCAAAAATTAATACCGCGTTTTGAAATTTCAGAAGCTGACGAAAATCACGATTTTTGTTTTCTTCGCCTGTTACGGATTTTAAAAATCGAATTTCAATTCCACCTATAGCTAGTTAGACTTTTCGAGGTATTTTGAAGCGAATTTTTAAATTTTGAAAATTAACGAAAATTACGATTTTTCCTTCGTTCCGCCTTTGTTGGAAAGTAACTTTGCTAAATTTGTGAAGTTTTGGAAGATATGAAATTCTGCAAGGTATGATTTTATGTTTTCATATGCACTGTTTTCACAACAGAATGTAATTTTGCCCAGTTTTGAAGGAATTCGGAATTAAAAAAATTGTGAAGACTTCTCTTCTTAATTCTTGACAATTCTTACAATTTTTAAAAATTTTTTAAATTTTTGGCATAAATTTTTTAACATTTTTAAATTTTTATATCTAAATATTTTGACAGATACCAAATTATTTTTGAAATTTTCACGTTTTTTTTCAAAATTTTCAAATTTTTAGCCTCTATCTGTAGCATTTTTCAAAACTTTTCAAAATTTTTAATTTGATTTATAATTTTAAAAATTTTCAGAAATACCCAAGTATTTTTAAAAATTCTGACAAATACCTAAGCATTTTTAAAATTTTCAATTTCTTGAAATTTCTAACTTCCATGCACCAGTATTTTTCAAAATTTTTAAAAATTGTGACATCTATACTATCTTTTTTTAATTTCTAAGTTTTCTAATTTTTTTAACTTTTAAAGTGTCCGACATATGTATAAGCATTTTAAAAATTTTTAAAATTTTTAAATATTTGAAAATATTTTTAAAAATAATTTTTTAAATTTGTACTTTTTAATTTAGTATTTTTCAATTTTTAAAATTTCTGACATATATACTATTTTGTTTTAAATTTCAATATTTTTCATATTTTTAAACTTTTTAAGATTTTCTGACTTATTTACTGGCAATTAAAAATTTTTTGAAATTTTTTAAATTTTTAGAAATATTTAAAAATATAATTTTTGAAATTTGTATTTTTTAATTTAGTATTTTTCAAGTTTTAAAATTTCTGACATCTCTACTATCTCTTTTTAATTCTTAAATATTTTGAAAGATACCAAATTTTAAAACCTCCGAATTAACATTTTTAAATTGTATGTTCTCAAATGTACTGTTTTCATCGCAGAATGTAAATTCGCTTAGTTTTGAACGATATTTTATTTGGTCCATGCACTCTGTTACGGATTTTGAAAATAATTTCAAAATTTGGCAAGGTATAATTTTATGTTCTTAGATGAACTCTTTTCATCAAAACAGTTTTTTAATATAGTTTTGAATTATTTTGAATGGAATTTTAAAATTTCGAAAATAATCAATTTTAGCAATTCACTCGATGCAGGTAAATTCTACAGGTTTAAAGGGTCTTAATTTCGAGTGGAATTATACACACTTCAAATTCAAGCCAGGAACAGTTGATGGAAAAAAGGAGTCAACTATAGGTCAACTGTTCCTGGCTTGAATTTGAAGTGTGTATAATTCCACTCGAAATAAAGACCCTTTAAACCTCTTTTATAAAAGAATGTTATTTAATTGTGGAACGATTTCGGGGTATTTTGAAACGAATTTTGAAAAGTGACTAAAATTACTAAAAGGTTCCCCGGTTACCGATTTTCCTGCAAATTTGAGGTATAATCTTATGTTAAATGTACTGTTTTCATCACAGAATGTAATTTCAGTTTGGACGTTTATATAAGAGATATTTGAAGCGAATTTTGAAATTTGGAAAAATTTACGAAAATTACGATTTTTCATTTGTTCCTCTCGTACCGAGCGATTTTGGTAATTTTTTTTAATTTTGCGAGGTATGATTTTTTGCCCTAGAATATTATATACTGTTTTCATCACGCAATGTTATTCCGCTTAGTTTTGGACTATTTCGAGGTATTTTGAAACGAATTTTGAAATTTCGAAAATTAACGAAAATTACGATCTTTCGTTTCTTCTTCGCGCTACTGATTTTGCTAAAATGTTGAAATTATTCGAGGTATGACTTTATAAGCTAGATGTACTGTTTTCATCGCAGAGTGCACAATTTCACTTACAGGATTCAACTATTTTGAGGTATTTTTATGCGAATTTTAAAATTTCAAAATTTGAGGAAAATTACGTTTTTTCTTTTGAACCCCTATATATTATATGGATTTCCCAATTAAATTTAGTAAGGTATGATTTTTGTTCACAAATGTACCGTTTTCATAAAAGAATATACTACTGGGGGTGGGAAAAAAGTGGCCCCGAACGAAATGTGGCACATGCACCTGTATCTTTTCACTATCAATGAGGGTAGCGCCAATAAATATTATGTATTTGTACATATTTCTTTAGTTTTAGGAGCCAGATGATAAAAATTTTGATTATAAAATTTAGATTGAGAGAATAAAGTGTATTTGTACCACTTTTCATAAAAATTCAAGACAGCCTTTTTTAAGCAGATATGCATGGAATTATGTAATTGTTTGTCAAACAACTGTCTGATTCACGGCAAATTCTTCACAGATGCAACCAACAATTTGAACAATGAAAAAACTAATTAATAGAATTTGATTCATGTGTAAAATTGTGCTTAACGACACTAAATGACATGATAGAGTCCTCTGAACTTTCGCCATGCATGGTTGTTTGTGTGGTAATGAAAATGTACTGAAAGCCCACCGCGATATATCTACAATTTATTACCTTTTTTTACGGTCCATACACATTTGGATGCAAATGCTGTGTCCTTAAGCTGACTGCGCTCGCAGAACATTCATTGCATTACGCATTGTTTTTCATATTAAAACAAATGAAATCGAATCTTCAAAAACAAATTACTAAGCCAAATTGTATTGAATTATATTTTTTTGGGTATTATTACATAATGTAAAATATTGGGCGCTAAGTAAACAGCAAAACATTTTTTCACTGAATTTCTGCTAAAAAGCGCCCATCTTGGGTTTTAGTCTAGAAAATAATTCGTGTGGTTTTTCTAACATGCTATTGCTCTAAATCACGAGTTTGACTCACAAAGATATAAAAATTGGTAAATAGACCGAAGTCACACTATAACAGCTTATTGCCGTAAATTTGAAAACAGTAAAATGAACGTTTTACTTAAACTGATTTTTTTATAATCTCAATAAATTGAAGAAAATTCTCCTTCTGGTCCCCTGTCATGGACAAATTTAAAATTTTTAAATTTCTCGAGTTCACAAAATGCAGTTTCACTCAACTGGAAAGCTAGCTTTGCCGTGGTGAAATCATGATAACAAGCAGTGGCGGATCAAAAGTTCAGTTTCCGGGAAGATACTTTCTCATCCGTTCCGTTTTCCGTGCAGCGGCATCTTAACAGCACAATTGAAGACCCATTCTTTTTGTGATGTAAATTTGGCAAAAAGACTCCAAATGTGCCCATATCATGGTTGCGGATTTTGAATTTATCAAAAAGTAAAAAAACTTTGCAATACATTTTATTATTGAAAAATTTTGTCTTGATGGATTTATTAGTCTTTATAAAGTTAACGGACATGACGTCTAATCGGTAATTTCGTGCTACTAAAACAAAAGAAAACTGGATGATTTGCAATTCCCGATTTGACGTTTTGGCTGGCAACGTTCAAGGCTAATAAATCTAAGGACAAAATGTTTCATTAACAACATTTATTATATGGCACGCGGTCTCGTGACTAAAATGGCGTATTGCAAAGTATTTTAAAATACCTTTTAAGGTTAAAACTGTTAAAATATTCAAAATCCGCTACCATGGTATAGGCACTTTAAAAACTTACGAAACACGAGGAAGCCTCGTGTAAAATCATCTGGTATGAATTGTAATTTACCATGCATTTAGTATTTGCAAACGGCGGACAAAAGCAGTTAAACCGTATTTGGCAATCCGTTGTCAGTATCTTAACCTCTCACTATAATATCCTTCATGTTGTTGCAATATAACATTTCAAGCGCTCGATTCCTCACGAGCCCCCCCCCCCCCAAATTCCTTCCACGACACTTACTATTGGCTGCATAAGACTGTGAGATTAATAACACGTGAAAAGAATTTACTCGATAAAAACTTTGATCAATTTGTAGTAAGATTTATCATACATTTCACGTATAGCCCAATCGTTTTAGCGCACATATTTATTTCCAACGAAAAACTGCACACTTTACATGTATTTTGAATCCTCGCAGTACATCAAGTCTACCGAGTACATAACAGGATTTAGAAGTCTTTTTTCTTTTTGCATTATCTGAAATTCGACTTAATTTTTAACGTGAATTGTAATTTGGCGCAATTTAGAAATAGTCTATCGTATTCACAAAAACTGAACACCGCATCCACCAGAGAAACATCAAGCTGTTCAAAAACATGACATCGTATTGGATATTAGAAAGTCGACTCCGTATTAGACCATAGAATTGGAAGGATCCCCAGCAATTCTGTTCACAACCTAGAAGTGAAGAAGAAGGATAGCTAGCTAAATAGCAATTCTCAGGCAATAATACTACTTACAAAGAATATACATTATACCAGAAGCCTTACTCTTTGCATTTTGCTAATGTTTTCGTGTCCGAAATTTTTCAGAAGCGCACGCGTCATTCTACGCAATTCTACGCCATCCTGGTGTGTTAAGAAACTATGTACCCCCATGAAAAAGCTCCTGCACACACCTGGATTGCGTGAGCAAGATACAAATTGGATACTAAGCGCCATTATGCTTGCGCGCTCGCGTATTTGGCTTAATTGCGTTAGGTGGCGTCACACTCTCAAAAAAGGCGCCAAATGCGAAGAGTGAGGCTCCTGTTATAATGTCTATTCTGTGTTACTTACAGAGCTTATTCCAGGAAGATTAAGTATATTTCCAATAACTGGAACTCGTCTAAGGAAATTGATTACAACCGGTAGGAACCCTCTGAAAAACGCAAAAATATAAACTATTAAAACACAAAATTTTTGAACTGCTAAAATTTTAAATTCATTATATTCACTATTATAATATAAGTATGATATAACGAGCAATTTGATTGGCTACCGCGCGTGCATTGTGAGGCCATAATGCACGCTTCTGGCTTTTGAAGTTTTTGTTGCTAAGCAACATCTTAAATAACATGTAAGGAGAATTTCATTATTGATCAAATAAATAAATTTTGTTGTTGCCCTATAATTTCTTCTTATATTATAAAAGAATTAACAAAGCTCGTCGCTTTAAAATTAAAGAAGCTCGAGAAGCTTGTAGAATTAAAAAAGCTCGAGAAGCTTGTAAAACACTCGGCTACGCCTCGTGTTTTACAAGCTTCTCTCGTATTCTCCCAACATTCCCCCATCGTGCATTATTACACCATAAAGGCACGCGACTCGTTTTTTAATTCTTAATTCTATCAGCTTGGCTTTTAAATATTTTTTATTATATATGGTGAATGTGTGAGGGGAGATGAGATTAGTGTCTTCTTACGAAACTTCATTTTCCCGCTTTGCTTTGTTTTACTATCGAGTTTCTTTTTATTTTTGTCCGTATAATAAACAGAACATTACCCGGTTCGCTCGAAGATTCAACAATTTTTGAATGAGGATGAGAATGATATGAAAAATAAACGAGCAGAAGTTTGTCGTTAGAACTGTTGGTTAGCATTTGCGTTGTTTCACATTTCAGCCTCATCATTTGTGATGTCATTGATAGACATACGTCATTTACCGACGTCAAAAAAGTACCCCGTTACTCGTTGGACCATAGGCGGCCCAAAATGGCGCGAGAAATTTTTCGGTAATTTGTCAATATAATGTAATAATGTATAATCACATCAGGTAGGAAGCTCGTTTTTACGTTCCTAAACTTACCACTTAAGACTATATCACCGAAGCTAATAAAAAGATAAATAAACTAATCTCTGATAATTTTCCGAACTTCTTACAAGCGAAATATGAAATATTTGAAATTTCATTTTGAAATATTCTACATGATCCTATTGGCTGCATGAGGTTCGTTCGTCTGTTTTTTCAACCAATAGGATCATGTAAAATATTTCAAAACAATGACGAATACAGGGACCACTGTCGTCCCGCATCGCGCATGGTTCGGAATGACCATTTTACACACGGCTATTAACCAATAGCGAATAAAAATAGCATTATTCTGTTCTTGAAAAACTTGGTTGGAATAAATTGCATGATAACCGTAAAATGCAAAAATCGATTCTCATGTATGGTCAGGAACAATTTAACACCTATGTATTTACAAGATTTGTTTGTCACTAGAGTTAATAACTATAGTCTCAGAGATTCAAATGGAAACCATTCATTCATAAACCTAAAACGGACGCTTCTTCAGTTATAGTGGAGCTTCATTATGGAATAGCTTGCCTGGGGCCTTGCGATTCTCTGAATCTCTTTTTCACTTAAAAGATCTTAAACAATTAATTGTAATTCTATTTAGCTTAATCCGACACGGCAACCCGGTAGAACACTAGTTTTATTTATCGAATATATAATTTATATAAGTTTAGAGAAATTTATCAGCTTTACATGCATTTTGCTGAATGGTTTAACGTGTTTTTAAATAAAGCTAATGTATGTATGTATGTATTCGGTCATGTCCGCGTTACTAAAGTCCGCATTTTGCTATATAATTAATGAATATGTTTCACGATATCTCGCCAGACCTTACAGAACTCTGACAATTCGTGTCTTAGATTCAAATCGAATTCCCGTGAAACGTTCGGCCAATATTCATCTTTGCAACGAAATATTAAAGCCTTTTGTTGGTTAAAAAAGCAATGTATACGAGATCGGAGGAGGAAAAGGCCCTAATTGAACACGAAGTTGTTCATGTCGAGAAATATTCCATATGGAAAGCTGTTGTTCCTAGGGTATAACATGAATGCATGGATATGCACCACACTCTTTCCCCACCCCTCGATTAAGCGGTCTACATAGCTACATTATTTTGAGCCATGTTATCAAATCACAATTCTGCACGGCTCAAGTTGTTCCTGATTGATGAAAACAATGCTAAGTAATGTTTTGCAGACACCGAACATGGTTGTTGTGAAATTGGAGCGACATGGTGTACACCACTGACCTACACAAGATTGACTGAGCGCTCGAATTAAAGAATAAAATTAAACTATTGTTAAAAGTATATGGCTCTCTTTCAGAAAAGGTTTTGCGTTATTATTTTATAGTTTACTGTAGGTAATGTAATATACATTCGTATTGAAGAAATCTCACGCCCAAGAAATCTCACGCAAGAATTGGCATTTGCTGCACTCTAAAACTTCAAAATTTACTTCGGGGAAGATGCCCCCAAACTCCCCTAACAATGCTCCATCCCCCAAAATGTACCTTTCTAACACCTCTTAAACGGTAGGCTATGCATTATCGCATTGCAATAGTACAAATTTACATCAATTTACCATGGCGTTTTCTTTGCTGCGGATTTTGGGTCCCTAACGAGAATTTTGCCCCCAGCCCCCAAAATTCTCTCGGCGGCCCAGTGTGTCACCATCGTTGCTCACGTCATATAGGTCCTAGCGTCGACGAAAATTACCGCAGGGCGCAGACTGATATTTGTTTTGGTTTGTAGCCTTAAACCTTTAAGTTATTAGTGAGTATCTTGTGCAAATTATTGTACCCAATCTCGATCTAAATTGCTTACATATCATTGAAATCTATGTAGCTACATCATATTTACTTGTGAAATATTCTAGTTTGTCAATTGTCAGGATTGTGCATGAGAGAGTATTAAAAATTTTGACTGAAGAATTGTAGTTAAATGTATTCTTTCAATATATACGTTGTTAACGTGAGCATCTCCTGGATATTTGAAGAGCTTATAACTATGCCTGTGCAGTTATTGTCATTGCATGCATATCTCCGTATTTATAAAAAAAAATTAATGATGTGAATTTTCTGCTTATTTTTTATTTTTTCATTTTTCGGCTCGAATAATATATTTATCAACGTCACAAATGCTTTGAACGCAACCGCTCGCAGTTTAACAAGGATAACATCCTAAAACATGGGATAACAAACAAACTCATTTCTGTTCTATTGACCAGAAGAAAACGGACTAAGTAAAATATGGCATAATTTTCAGAAATCGAACCCATATTTATATCATATTTCAATCAGCTTTTATATTACTCACTCCGAAATCCGAATTACGAGCCAGTTATTTTCGGTCAGCAAATTTACGCATGAGAGCAAGGACCTATATGACGTGAGCAACGGTGGACCCATCCAGCGCCTGATTAAATAGGTCGCGCGCTCAGTCCATCTAGTATAGGTCAGTGGTGCATGTAGACTAACCAGTCGTCAACTTGTTCGTCAGTGGGGTGCAGGGCAAAAAATTATCAACCGGGAAAAACAACTTGAGCATTTTTAGTGGTGTAAAAGAGATTGTATCCCCGGTTAAAGTGACCGGATAACCTCATTTTAGCTCGGTTGAAACTGGTTTTTGATCGCCCACCATATCAACGACCTTCCATAATCAATTTATACCTTTGCATGTACATGAATCGATATCGAGACCAAATCACAGTGCAACCTTAACGTGAATCGTTAGTCCATGTATACCAACAAAGCGCTTTTGAGGAAATTATCATATATCAGTGATAACCTTGTTTTATTTTTTTGTGTAGTTTGGCTAAGCGAATTAGCTATCAATATATGTGGTTGGTCAAAAAAATGACCGGCAAGCTGAAAAATTCACTGGACAACAAGCAATTTTGGCCATTCAGTCATTGTCCGTTGACAGGCGGTTATTTTGAGCCATGTTGTCATGGGATTAGCCTTTCTCGCGAAGACTGATGTATTCATACCGCCATTTTGGGGACACTAACTGTATTTTCAAAACCGTATGCGCAAGACCTCGTAACGAGGACTGTTTAATTTTAGGCTGAATTCAAAAGCGTAGCTAGCCTGAAAATTTCTCCCGCTATGCTAGTATTTTGGTGTTTGAACTTTGAAATAGTTTGGCATTGACTGTGAAAACAATAATTTTTTTAAACATGATTCTAATAACTTGTAATTTACAGAGCCGGACAAAATCGTCAGGCTGGCTGCGCCACTGGCTGAATTTACTCGTCAAAAAAATTGCTTTCACGTTGTTATAATTTTTTAAACCCATTTGAGAAAATTGAAAGTACCACAAAAACGTCATCGTGAGAAAAGTTAATTGCAGGGTCAGCAGAATGAAAGTTTAAAGCTAATACCACGCGTACCATAACAGCCAAATTATGACTATGTTTAGGTGCATAATATATGATAAAGGTACAAATATACAAATCAATGAATACGGTAATATCAAACATGGCATATCACAAAGAATTATTTCGAGATAATAACTCACCCAAAAAGTAAAATAAAACCATATGTTTCCAGCAGCATACCAATCATTGGCCAGCCAATTAAAACAACAAATATTCCACCAATGAAGAATGCACTTCCCTTTAGTTTGTGTTTTTGAAAGAAAAATCTAAATGTTCTTTCAAGACCAATAACTAATGTTAAACCAGATATAAAAAGAATCTAAAAACCAGATAAAAACATGGTTGTTATGGTAATATAATATTCTAAAATAGACTATAATTGATATGTGTGGATATTTTGAACTGCCAGTATATATGTAATAAAAAGGTAGCAGTTGAGATAATGTACATGTAGTGTAGATGTACTTATATCTTACATTTCCTATAGCAAGTAATCCCTTGTCAAAGAAGAAGATGATACCAAAGAACAGAAAAAACACCCCAAATCCTGTGACACCAATACCAATCTCTGAAAATTGAAAATTAAACACATGGTTTTTGATAAAAAGAAAATTGGCAGTATTGAACAATATTGTCGAAAGTGAATCAGGTGTAAGAATATTGTTCGATGTTGACAACAACTCTGAACAATGTGGGCAGCAAAACATTTTTCCATCCTGTTCATATCAATATTGCATCAGCCTGATCGTTTTAAGCATGTATCAGATGAATGCAGGGCAATATCACGGACTTACAGTAGTGTAAATTGCAATGATAGTTATGATACAGCTGTATGTACAATACAGTTTGTGCTCATAAACTCCCAAAATGTTGCTCTCAAAGAGAAGAAAATGCTTTAAAATTATAAGATTTATTCATTTCAGTAAACAGCTTATAATTAAAATAAGTTGCTGAAAATTACCCAAAAAAAAAGTTGCTTTAAGCTGCTCAATCTAAGAAAAGTTACATGCATAATTGCACTATACCTAAATACAATCAATATACTGTACGTGCCTAAAAGAACCATTCCATACACTGTTCTGTACATGCTCTGTTCAGTATCATTGTACAGTAGGTTATGCTTTGAGTTTTCAGAACTTCACCCATACAGCCTTCTATACCTAATTAATATGTGACTATATACCCTACTAAATCAACCTATATCAAATTGCCACTTGTTACCAGTTTTTTTTTACATTTCAATATTGTCTATAAACTATAGACAATAAAATAGTCTATAAACTATAGACAATATAAAACTACAGACAATAGTTTATGCCCATGTAAATATTAATACTCAAAAATTTGGTCAACATACATGTATGTATTCACTTTCATACCTAACATACAAAAATCCAAAAATAAACGTCATAACGACTTCTATTTTGCAAGCAAACCAAAAAATGACATGTTTCTGCTAAGCTGATTGACCTGAAAATATTCTGATTCCCCAACAGTTATATAATGTCCAAAATACCATTTAAATAGTTTCAAGTCCCACTTATTCATGCACTTTGAACACACATTTTCAATGTATTACTGTAATCCTACTGCAAATATAAATTCTGACTGAAATAATGAAAATGAATTGGTGTTGAAACACCATAATGGTGCAGTTTGATTCTACTGGTTTTCAAAATATTTGATTCAAATTGGTCAACCAGCAGGCAGTAAAAACACCTGGACTATGGTCTATATTTCCACATGAGAACCAGTATATATTGGATGTGGTTTGTTATTAGAGGAGAGAACCTTTGGCGCTGTACACAGCCACTATAAAAAGGTTTTTCAACTTTCTGTAAATATTATTTAATAGCATATGAACTGGTAAAGGGTTTAATTCAGGCATATAATAAAATGCGTTTGGATCTTGTTAATTCACACACATGGTGAAATACTGTATCACACATAGTAAAATATCATGAATGCATGATTAAAATATTCATTAGTAAATTAGTGCAATAGGGTACTTGATGGTGTTTACTATGCTACACCTCAGCTGAAAATGCTAGTTTTACAATTTTGTCAAACAAATGTATGGAAAACAAAACCATAACTATGTATGGTATACCATCCACACTATATCAGATTAAAATCTACTAGAATAAATAGTTAGGCAATAAATATTTGACTTCATGCCATTTGCCAAGTCATTAAAGCTAAGCAAGATTGAAAATGGAATGATTGTTTAGCTATGTTGTCCAAACTATGTCGATAACCCATTTAAAATTTAGTAACCTGTCTCCTAGGCAACCCACCTATGTACAAAATCTCAATATAAGAGGTGGATCGGAAACTTTAAACTCTAAGAATAACCCCAATATACAATTTTTTATGGCAAAATCTATCCGAGAAGGGACATAAATCTATGCCAGAAGAGCTAAACTTTAACCTGTTTTGTATTACAATACACTAAAAACTGTGGAACCTTGCACTGGATACATCAGGATATCAGGTACAGAAAGGGTGACAAGCAAGATTGACAGTGCATTATATTAAACTACAGAAAACATATTCTGAGTATAAACCATGCACATATTCTCAATAAGGGTTTTAATTTCGAGTGAAGACGCCAAAAATCACAATTGATTTATTTTCAATAAGGTTTACCTGCCAGACTACAAGACCCAGGCATTATAATACGCGTGTTTTTGACACACTTTGTGTCCTTGTAAAAAGCGAATGTGTCCTTGTAAATGGAAAAGTGTGTAGTTAAAAATCATGCTTCATGGACAAAAATGTCTAATATAATTTGAATTTGACTATTTAAAATAATTATTGTTTCTATAATAAAATGACATTATTGAATATATTATATATTAAAAAAGGCTAGAGACTGACGGACCGTGCTTTGCATGGCTATGCTCTTTTTTATATGCTTGCGTTGTAATTTCACGTTGTAATTTCTAAGACTAAGTGATTATTGAACCTAAAGACAATGTGTGTCCTTGTAAAAATTCCGTATTATAATGCCTGACAAGACCAGACCCAGTAATTAAGCAAGAGTCCCGCAGGGTGCAGGCCATCCTGGTAGGGAGGGTGTACAATTTCTATGTGGTGGTTTTTGTGGTATGTACAATGTACTTTTGGGAAAGGGACAAAGCCACAAAGGGTGTAGTAAGTGTAGTACTTTATGGTTTTAAATTAGAAAGTTATTGAGTTACATATACCGCGACCCATAATCTTAAGAATACCATGTACACATGGTCGAGAATAATGTCGATAAAAAATGAACTGCTTATGCCTATGATCACTATGACACATTGACCTCACAGTGTCCTATAAAGTCCGACCGACTTTCAAATACGATAAAAAGCGTGAAGACTGGATAGTACTATAAAACAATACACTTACTTTGGTAATCTGTTATTGGCAACATATTTCTATGATATTCGAAGGACTAAGGCGGCATAGTGAGTAAATCAATCGCAATATTTCGTTTAAAATCCTTGCAGTTGTTCAGCCACGTTTGTTGGGCCACGTAAACTTTGAACACGAGCCCGCGTTCACCATAATTGAACTATTGAAATACTTTAAGTTATTTTTGATAAAATGTTTGCTGCCGAGCGTCAGCGAGGCAGCACACTATTCTTGACATTCTGAGGTTTCTCCAGAGTTCAGTCGACCCAGGCTTTTGCGCCGATTTATGTATTGTCAAAGTTTGGATTTGTGTCTGTTTGGAAAGATGTTTGTCGTAATACCGGGGGCATATATTAAGTGTCAAGTATGTTGGGAGATATAGGGGGGGATGCGACTTCGAATAATTTTTATTGCGTATGCAAATTCGACATGCTTGAGTCCGAATGTAAACCACAAAGTACCCTGGTACCCAGAGCTTTTTAAAAATCACGTGAAAAAATACGCAAAGGGGGGAAAGGCGGAAAAAATGGGAAAGGCGGAAAGGCGGAAAAAACCTCTGGCGACATTGACAATTAATTCTGGAAACATTCTGGAAATAACTTTCAGTTATGGAAGCTCGTTGGTGATTGGCTAATGTCACAGTCAAAAATTTATATGCCTATTTGATACAATTTCGCATGCATCTTCTATAAATTCCTTCTATATTAATGATCGCATTTCGTGAATATGCATAGTGAACAATATGTTAATACACGCAAAATATGTCGGTAAGTGAGGAGGCTTTTAATATTGCGATCGGTGGAGCGTTAAAAGATACATTTCCGGAGATTTCTAGTCTTACGGAACACCAGTATAAGACCTTATTCAACTATATCAATCGCCGTGATGTGTTTTGTGTCCTCTAGCTCCTTTTTATACTTATCAAATTTTTCAACTTTTCTAAAACAGCCCTGGCAAATCATGGATGGCAAGTAACTTTCGTTAACAACATAACGTTGAAGCAATCTAGCAAGTCGGTTCTGCAAGTTATGTTTTGAAGCGAAAATGCTGTAATAGCCACGACCAGCAATTTTAAAGTTTATACCACATAATCTGCAAGTTTCCTTTATATTCTTGCTGGTCACATCGCGCGGATATATCTTTTTAGGAGTATTATTTGCAGAATCCATGGATCATTTGACATTTGTCAAAGCAAAGGTATTTATTACTTTCAATACAAAAACAATGTAAAAACGCTGCAAAAAGGGCTGCATTGATTGGTTGATAATTTTAGTCTCACATTTTTCACATTAGTAGTATAGAGAGTGGGGGTTCTACGTCGGGTGGTGCGGGTGGTGCGCCTTGCACCACACGTGACGTCACCAACGGCTGAACATTATTAATTTATTCCAATTTTGCGTTAAATTTTTTAATAATTTTGCATTGCTAATGCACTCGTTTAATGTTTATCATTATTTAGCAGTATAACCATGTGTTTATTACAGAAGAGGCCATTCCACGTAAAAGCTTTTTATGCTTTCGTTGTTCAATACGTATATAAACTTTATAGGCTTTATAGTTATACTCCTCATTGCTTATATTCTGTTTAGAGATCTTTAGAGGCTTTAGAGATCTCATGCAGTTATATAATTAATCATAATTCAACGCTCTGCCTGTTTTTACACAATGATTGTGCAATAATTTATTATTCATATAAGTACGCGCAGGGGCGAGGAATGGGGTAAACAAAGAAGCGTAAATACGCACAATAGCGTAAATACGCAGGATATGTTTGTTTCACAGCTATTTACTTAAATTACACAAATGCTGGTTTACTTATCACACAGTGTCAATCGGTTAAAAGATGTCTTTGTTGCTCAGGCGTCTAAGTATCAGCAAACCCCGAAGCAAGCTCTCCTTTATCGTTGAATAACTCATCGTTTCGCCAGTCCTTCATGAAACTTTGGCGTTGTTCAGGGGTCCAAGAATCTGTCAGGTTCGCAGCAATACCATATCGCTCATTCTCCACTTCCCATCGAAGTAAACGACTCATAATTTCTATATTCTTCTCAAACAGAAGATCCCTTTACATATCAGTCATAGCGACTTTCCAAAGTTCGTAAGCTCAGCCACAGTTGTCTGGTGGTGCGGGTGGTGCGCCTTGCACCACGTGACGTCACCAACGGCTGAACTTATTAATTTATTCCAATTTTGCGTTAAATTTTTTAATATTTTTGCATTGCTAATGCACTCGTTTAATGTTTATCATTATTTAGCAGTATAACCAAGGGTTTTTTACAGAAGAGGCCATTCCATGTAAAAGCGTTTTATGCTTTCGTTGTTCAATACATATATAAACTTTATAGGCTTTATAGTTATACTCCTCATTGAAACCAGTGATTTATATTTGCTTATAATCTGTTTAGAGATCTTTAGAGGCTTTAGAGATCTCATGCAGTTACATCATTAATCATAATTTAACGCTCTGCCGCTTTTACACAATGATTAGCCAATGAATTCTAATTATGTATGCGTATATCATAATATTTACACCGTATCCTAGCAACCCATGGTTGAACTGCAGGCAAGATCGAGCGCGTTTGAATATAAACTTTAAACGCATGCGCAAAATTACATATGATCCGAAATATTCATGTTTGCACCACAAGCCGCAGGAGCATTTTAGCTGCATATAATCTAACAAATTTTGCAAATACAAAGTTGAAATTGTAAACTGCAACAAGAGGCTGCTAAAGAGTAAAGCGTAAAGAGGTTAAAGAGAGTTACATCAAGGTAAGATGTTGAATAGTTTATTTTATTGCGAATTACATAAACTGATATGATTTAATAAGTGCAAAGAAGTCGATTCCTAGTAGTTGCTGTGCCCTTGCTGCCTGCACCTATGAAGAAATATCTGAGGTGCCCCTTGGGAAAGTCATGCAACGAATGGAGAAGCGGATTCCTAGTAGTTGCTGTGCCCTTGTTGGCTGTACCTATGAAGAAATATCTGAGGTGCCCCTTGGGAAAGTCATATGACGAACGGAGAAGCCGATTCCTAGTAGTTGCTGTGCCCTTGTTGGCTGTACCTATGAAGAAATATCTGAGGTACCCCTTGGGAAAGTCATGCAACGAACGGTTTAGTAAAGTTGTTGCGGTTGTCAGCTGAATCATTTACGATATATAAATGTGACGAAGTCACTTTTATTACGCCATTCAAGTAGTTGCTATGCCCTTGCAAGCTGTGAAATTGCTTGCTACATTGATTTAGTATTTTTTCACCCTGTCTATAGAATGGATTATGCCTGCAAGACTTGTTCGAAGAAGTTCACTCAGTTGAGAAGTTTAATTCGCCACGAACGCTCTACCCATGGAGAAAAGAAGTTATTTATCTGTGAACAGTGCAATGAGTCTTTTACACGAAGAGATGCTGTCAAACGGCATGAAAAGCGACATCAAAAGATCACTACGTATACCTGTAACAACTGTAGAAAAGAATTCTACCGTCACGACAAATTAGTGGAACATCAAATTCCTTGTCAAGGAAATCCCTTAATACGAAGACCTGATGAAGATGATAGCGGTCCAGTTCCAAAGAAGGCACGAGCTGATATTCAAATTGGAAAAGGGGAAACAGCTAGCCAGGTTGAAGAAAACGACAACAACCCTTGCGGTTCAACAACAGCTTTTGAAGATTCCTTGAAGAAAATCGAACTGAGACCACGAAAAAACCAAAAACACGACATGTCTCAGTTCTTGCGTGGTAAGACAAAGCCCATTTTGAAACACCTTTCGAAAGAGTTGGGAAAGAAACGGGGTATTAAATGGTTTGTTAACGTTAAAGTACGGTTTGTAAAACATAAACCCGATGGCGAAGATTTAATAACCGAGCCTCATTTTCGCAGTCTCTGTATGAAAACAGTTAATCAGCACGAACTGTCTAATCAACTGGATGAAGCGAAGCAGAAAATTGTCCAGTCGCTGGTGTTATTTCAAAAAGAAGGAAGTGGTTGGATATTAGACGAAATCCTTCATCTTGACCTTTGCATGGCCAAGTATACTCCAGTAAAAGGATCCAGTTACGTCCCACTACCTAGAACTATTGCAGGAAAGAAAGCAGTGATCAACGTTAAGAATTCCGACAGCAAATGCTTCATGTGGGCCGTCCTTGCTGCTCTTCATCCTATTCACTGGAAGAATAACCCGGAAAGATTACATCACTATGAAAATTTTCAAGATGAATTAAATTTTAATGGTATTGAATTTCCTGTGACTATTGATAAAATTAACAGATTCGAAAAGCAGAACAATATCTCAATTAACGTTATTGGCTTTGAAGATAAAGTACTATTCCCAATCTACGTAACGAAAGAGCGCTTCAACAATCATGTTGACTTGTTGCTATACTCTGAAGGTAATGCGAGACATTACTGCCTCATTAAAATTTAAACAAATTGCTCTACAGTCAAAACCATCATAAAGCACGGATGTTTTACTGCCGCTATTGCTTTCATGGATTTATCCGCGAAGACTTGCTTCAAGAGCATGAACCACACTGCTGTCAACATGCAGCTCAACGCATCGAACTCCCGACTGAAGAGAATGCTCAACTGTTCTTTAAAGACTACTATAAACAGTTGAAAGTTCCGTTTGTGATTTACGCCGACTTCGAAAGTCTTACCACCAAGATCAACTCAGTTAATCCTAATCCTGAAAAATCCTCCACTGAAAAATACCAACACCACCAACCTTGTGGATTTTCCTACATTGTTGTATCCGACCATGAGAAGTATTGTAAAGCGCCTGTAGTTTATCGTGGAGAAGACGCAGTCGACGAATTTATGAAGTGTTTAGAAGAAGAGCAGAAATATATTCAAGAGAAACTGGATTGGATCGAGCCCATGCGAATTGAGAGAGAAGAAGAGCAAGCGTTTCAAGATGCAGTCCATTGTCATATTTGTGGATATGAATTGGGTTCTGACCGTATTCGTGACCATTGTCATCTTTCTGGAAAGTACCGCGGAGCTGCGCACAACGATTGCAATTTGAACTATAGTTTTACCGGCCGAATTCCTGTTATTCTTCACAATCTACGTGGGTATGATTCTCATCTCATAATGCAAGGACTTGGTAAACTCAAAGAGAAGAAGATCAACTGCATTCCAAACAACACCGAAAAGTACATCTCCTTCTCCATCGATAATATGGATTATATCGACTCCTTACAATTCATGAATGCATCGTTGGAGAAGCTAGTATCTAATCTAGCAAAGGACGGCGTTGAAAAGTTCCCCGTTCTAAAGAAATATATCGACAGCGACAAAATATCCCTTCTGCTAAGAAAAGGCATCTACCCCTACGACTACATGGATTGTACAGAGAGATTCAATGAACCAACCTTACCATCGAAGGAATCCTTCTACAACGTGTTGAACGACGAACATATTTCAGACGAAGATTACGCACACGCGACGAATGTATTTAACAAGTTTGCCTGTCGGAACATGGGTGATTACCATGATCTGTACTTAACGTCGGACGTTCTTCTCCTTGCGGATGTGTTTGAAAATTTCCGAAGCGTGTGCCTCAAAGCCTACAACTTGGATCCCTGCCACTTCTATACAAGTCCTGGTCTAGCCTGGCAAGCGTGTTTGAAAATGACTGAAGTCGAACTCGAGCTGCTGACCGATCCAGACATGTATCTATTCATCGAAGAAGGTCTTCGCGGTGGAATTTCAATGATTAGCAACCGCTATGGTAAAGCCAACAATCCATACGTTCCCGATTATGACCCAGAACAAGAGACCTCCTACGTGATGTATCTTGACGCTAACAACCTCTATGGCTGGGCTATGTCGCAACCTCTACCCACGGGTGAGTTTGACTGGCTAACCGACCAAGAGATTGCAGAACTCGACATCACGGACGTTGCGGACGATGACGATGAAGGCTACATATTGGAAGTAGACCTACACTATCCGTCCGAATTACACGATCTTCACAACGATTATCCTCTAGCACCTGAGAAAATGAAGATTTCTTCAGAAATGTTGTCACCATACTGCCAGGATCTGTCGGAAAGTTTGCAACTTCGTGGTGGCGCTGTGTCTAAATTGGTGCCGAATCTACAAGACAAGATCAACTATGTGGTCCATTACCGCAATTTAAAGCAATACCTGGCACTTGGCATGAAGTTGACAAAGATCCACCGCGTTTTGGTATTCCAACAAAGCCCATGGTTAAAGACCTACATCGATTTCAACACCGAGAAACGAAAACATGCAGCAAACGACTTCGAGAAAGATTTCTACAAGTTGATGAATAACTCGGTGTTCGGCAAAACCATGGAGAATTTGAGAAAGCGCGTTAACGTCAAGCTCGTCAACGATAAGACGAAACTATCGAAATTGATAGCATCTCCTTCCTTTGACTACTTCCGCATATTCTCAGAGGAGTTGGCAGCTGTCAACATGAAGAAGACGAAGCTTTACCTAAACCGCCCCATCTACGTCGGATTCACCATCCTGGATCTCTCCAAAGTACTCATGTATCAGTTTCACTACGAGTACATGAAACCCAAGTATGAGTACAACGCAAAGTTGTTGTTCACAGACACGGATAGCCTTTGTTACGAGATTAAGACCGACGACGTTTATCAAGACATGTTGCAAGACATCGATCTCTTTGACACATCCGAATACGCACGAGACCATCCACTGCACAGCCTGACGAACAAGAAAGTCCTTGGCAAAATGAAAGATGAAACGCATGGCATACCCATCCAAGAGTTTGTTGGTTTGCGACCGAAGATGTACTCCATTCTCTATACCGAAAACGACAAGCAAGTGGAGAAGAAAACGGCTAAAGGAATAAAGAAGTCCGTCACGAAACGAAAGCTTCGGCACACCAACTACAAGGAATGTTTGTTTGATAAGAAACGGACAATGGCCAGCATGAATCAGATTCGAAGTGAACGCCATGAAATCTACTCCATTAAATTGAACAAGATTGGTCTTAGCCCTTATGACGACAAACGCTATATTATAAACGATGAGTGAACACTCTTGCTTATGGACATTACCAAATCATAAGCACAGACGAGTGAAATATCAAGTTTTATTGTTGTTGAACAATACATAAGTTAGACGTTTTAAAGTTATAAATCATTGCAATTGCATGAAATACAAACTTATGTTACAATGTTACGTGTTTATAAAATTGAAGTTACATGTTTATTTATATTAAGAGGAGGTTTTTTCTATGCGTGGAAAATGCTCAAACCTTATAAAATCATAATATTGTACGCATGCGTGGATGCATTAAGGTGTGTTTTGAAAGTTTGATGTTGAATGTTGGGTTTACATAGAAACAAACTCTCCTCTTAAGTTACGTGTTAAAGTTATAAATTGTTCTGAAAGTTAATAAATTGTTGTAAAAGTTAATAAATATTTGAAAGAAATCCTTTGATTATTCTCAGTCTTCAGTTTGTGGTATAATGATCCAGATTCTACCCCGTCTGTTTAGTCTAAAAATGCAACCATTTCGCTGGGATATTGTTCGGCTTGTCTTTTGTATGTTCAACACTGTCGTTTTTCCTCTTTAGAACTCTAGGCTTGCTGTTTTCCTTGCTTATCTTTTTGGTGCTTAATAATTCACACACCACGTCTAGCTGTCGTTTGTTCTCATGTCTGTTCTCATCATCAAGAGTGTTCTCATTTGCTCTGTTGTACACAACACATTTCCCTTTCGGCTGTAGTTTGGCTTCTTGTAGGTACTTCTTTCTTTGGTCAATATCGAGCAGATGCACATCCGCAAGATGATTTGCCAATCTTACAAGGTATTTTGCACCGCAATTGGGAACGGTACAATCACGACAAACGCGCTTCGCCATGTCTACGGTTTGAAGAACAGGATGCAAATGAGCTGTTTCCTCTGATTACTGACTTTTATTAGGGCCAATCGGGCCATAGTACAGGCCAATCGGGCCAAAAAGGCCAAAAGGCCAAAATAGGAGACACAGCTCCTTCCAATCCCATAACCGCTTGCCAAAGCCTCATATCATTTAATCTCTTAGTATATGAACAGTTCTTTCTCGATTCTTTTACATACATCTTTCCCACTGTCTTTAGCACAGTTTTGGATGGTTTGATAGTCATAGAAGGCTTGTCTGTTTGCTCCATTCCTAATATCTTGTTTAAGTTGGTTTTATTTCGGCGTTTAAATTTATGCTGAGGCATAAAGGCTTGTCTGCATGCGGATTTGCCGTCTTATTATGTGAGTGTTTTTTTCTCGATTCTTTTACACTTCAACGTTTCCCCTGCTTTTCGGATAATCACCAATTCAGTTCGTTTGTGTATCGTAGTATAGTTAGTCGTTCGCTTGAGCTTGAGTTTCTTGATTTGTGCAGTTTGGCTTTTTTCTGATCTTTAACATTTATCTTCTTTTAATGGCTCTTTTACGTAAATCATTTACCCCAGTTGATTTTGAGCGTAAAACCTCTTTCTTTGAAGATGCTTTAGGAGACATCGTTTTGTGTGCACACTTTGCTGGCATATTGCAAACTGAGGACACAGTTTATTAAAATCACGTTATTTCATACATATGATTTTCGCAATCACAGCGCTTATGACAAAAACCTAAAAGTCTCTTCTTTTAGCATCCGTCTTCGATCTGTACAAAAATTACATCTCCAATCAGCAAGTGTATATTTGAGCAGCTCTTGACTGTCTACACAAGGTTTAATATCCGTTAGGGTTTCGATAAAAGCCTCCGTGACCTTTGTCTCTGAGATTTTTGACAACGCCTTGTCAAAATACATGCATAACTTTTCGTCTTTTTCCATATAGTGATACATTGATGTTTTGTCTGAGATAAATTTTCCATAATACAACCATCACAATTATCAACCACAAGTTGAGATATCATCATTGATATCTCTTTTGCGTAACACTTTAGCAATTTGTTTTCGATACATGAAAGCATTGAAAACGTCAAAGAGTAAAGCCCCTTACAGACGAGCAAGTTTTCTATGACAAGTTTTTATGTGACAAGTTTTGATTGTTCGTCTGTACGCGCAACTTTGACAATTTTTTTCTATGACAAGTACATTGTTCAAAATCAATATATTTGATTTTGAACAAGTGTACTTGTCACAGAAAAAATTGTCAAAGTTGCGCGTACAGACGAACAATTAAAACTTGTCACATAAAAACTTGTCATAGAAAACTTGCTCGTCTGTAAGGGGCTTTACTCTTTGACGTTTTCAATGCTTTCATGTATCGAAAACAAATTGCTAAAGTGTTACGCAAAAGAGATATCAATGATGATATCTCAACTTGTGGTTGATAATTGTGATGTTGATTATGGAAAATTTATCTCAGACAAAACATCAATGTATCACTATATGGAAAAAGACGAAAAGTTATGCATGTATTTTGACAAGGCGTTGTCAAAAATCTCAGAGACAAAGGTCACGGAGGCTTTTATCGAAACCCTAACGGATATTAAACCTTGTGTAGACAGTCAAGAGCTGCTCAAATATACACTTGCTGATTGGAGATGTAATTTTTGTACAGATCGAAGACGGATGCTAAAAGAAGAGACTTTTAGGTTTTTGTCATAAGCGCTGTGATTGCGAAAATCATATGTATGAAATAACGTGATTTTAATAAACTGTGTCCTCAGTTTGCAATATGCCAGCAAAGTGTGCACACAAAACGATGTCTCCTAAAGCATCTTCAAAGAAAGAGGTTTTACGCTCAAAATCAACTGGGGTAAATGATTTACGTAAAAGAGCCATTAAAAGAAGATAAATGTTAAAGATCAGAAAAAAGCCAAACTGCACAAATCAAGAAACTCAAGCTCAAGCGAACGACTAACTATACTACGATACACAAACGAACTGAATTGGTGATTATCCGAAAAGCAGGGGAAACGTTGAAGTGTAAAAGAATCGAGAAAAAACACTCACATAATAAGACGGCAAATCCGCATGCAGACAAGCCTTTATGCCTCAGCATAAATTTAAACGCCGAAATAAAACCAACTTAAACAAGATATTAGGAATGGAGCAAACAGACAAGCCTTCTATGACTATCAAACCATCCAAAACTGTGCTAAAGACAGTGGGAAAGATGTATGTAAAAGAATCGAGAAAGAACTGTTCATATACTAAGAGATTAAATGATATGAGGCTTTGGCAAGCGGTTATGGGATTGGAAGGAGCTGTGTCTCCTATTTTGCCTTTTGGCCTTTTTGGCCCGATTGGCCTGTACTATGGCCCGATTGGCCCTAATAAAAGTCAGTAATCAGAGGAAACAGCTCATTTGCATCCTGTTCTTCAAACCGTAGACATGGCGAAGCGCGTTTGTCGTGATTGTACCGTTCCCAATTGCGGTGCAAAATACCTTGTAAGATTGGCAAATCATCTTGCGGATGTGCATCTGCTCGATATTGACCAAAGAAAGAAGTACCTACAAGAAGCCAAACTACAGCCGAAAGGGAAATGTGTTGTGTACAACAGAGCAAATGAGAACACTCTTGATGATGAGAACAGACATGAGAACAAACGACAGCTAGACGTGGTGTGTGAATTATTAAGCACCAAAAAGATAAGCAAGGAAAACAGCAAGCCTAGAGTTCTAAAGAGGAAAAACGACAGTGTTGAACATACAAAAGACAAGCCGAACAATATCCCAGCGAAATGGTTGCATTTTTAGACTAAACAGACGGGGTAGAATCTGGATCATTATACCACAAACTGAAGACTGAGAATAATCAAAGGATTTCTTTCAAATATTTATTAACTTTTACAACAATTTATTAACTTTCAGAACAATTTATAACTTTAACACGTAACTTAAGAGGAGAGTTTGTTTCTATGTAAACCCAACATTCAACATCAAACTTTCAAAACACACCTTAATGCATCCACGCATGCGTACAATATTATGATTTTATAAGGTTTGAGCATTTTCCACGCATAGAAAAAACCTCCTCTTAATATAAATAAACATGTAACTTCAATTTATAAACACGTAACATTGTAACATAAGTTTGTATTTCATGCAATTGCAATGATTTATAACTTTAAAACGTCTAACTTATGTATTGTTCAACAACAATAAAACTTGATATTTCACTCGTCTGTGCTTATGATTTGGTAATGTCCATAAGCAAGAGTGTTCACTCCATCGTTTATAATATAGCGTTTGTCGTCATAAGGGCTAAGACCAATCTTGTTCAATTTAATGGAGTAGATTTCATGGCGTTCACTTCGAATCTGATTCATGCTGGCCATTGTCCGTTTCTTATCAAACAAACATTCCTTGTAGTTGGTGTGCCGAAGCTTTCGTTTCGTGACGGACTTCTTTATTCCTTTAGCCGTTTTCTTCTCCACTTGCTTGTCGTTTTCGGTATAGAGAATGGAGTACATCTTCGGTCGCAAACCAACAAACTCTTGGATGGGTATGCCATGCGTTTCATCTTTCATTTTGCCAAGGACTTTCTTGTTCGTCAGGCTGTGCAGTGGATGGTCTCGTGCGTATTCGGATGTGTCAAAGAGATCGATGTCTTGCAACATGTCTTGATAAACGTCGTCGGTCTTAATCTCGTAACAAAGGCTATCCGTGTCTGTGAACAACAACTTTGCGTTGTACTCATACTTGGGTTTCATGTACTCGTAGTGAAACTGATACATGAGTACTTTGGAGAGATCCAGGATGGTGAATCCGACGTAGATGGGGCGGTTTAGGTAAAGCTTCGTCTTCTTCATGTTGACAGCTGCCAACTCCTCTGAGAATATGCGGAAGTAGTCAAAGGAAGGAGATGCTATCAATTTCGATAGTTTCGTCTTATCGTTGACGAGCTTGACGTTAACGCGCTTTCTCAAATTCTCCATGGTTTTGCCGAACACCGAGTTATTCATCAACTTGTAGAAATCTTTCTCGAAGTCGTTTGCTGCATGTTTTCGTTTCTCGGTGTTGAAATCGATGTAGGTCTTTAACCATGGGCTTTGTTGGAATACCAAAACGCGGTGGATCTTTGTCAACTTCATGCC